CCGTTCGTGCCTCACGTCCACCGCCGCGCTGTTTTCGACCGCATCCATGGTCTCAGCCACCCGGGTGTGCGGGCCTCCCAGCGCCTCCTCACGCAACGTGTCGTCTGGCCCGGCATCACGTCTGATACTAAGAAATGGGCTGCCCAGTGCCTGGCCTGCCAGTCCTCCAAAATACATCGTCACATACGGGCCCCCTTACAAACTTTTCCTATTCCCAAAGGCCGTTTTCAAGTAGTACACCTCGACATCGTGGGACCTCTACCATCATCCTACGGTAGCACCTACATCTTCACCTGCATCGACCGTTTCACCAGGTGGACAGAAGCAATTCCCATGCCCAACGCTACAGCAGAGACTACTGTCCGCGCCTTCATGTCCGGTTGGGTTTCCCGTTTTGGCCCCCCCGCAACCGTAATCACTGACCGAGGAGTACAGTTTGAGTCACAACTCTGGCAGCACCTCCTACAGTTCCTCGGCACGTCTAGACAACGCACTACAGCATACCATCCTCAAGCCAACGGCATGGTAGAACGTTTTCACCGGCAGCTGAAGGACGCACTCAAGGCACAGCACGACCCTTACAGCTGGACTGATGCGCTTCCCTTAGTGCTCCTCGGCATCCGTGCGTCACACAAGGAGGATATGGATTGTAGCCCAGCAGATCTGACACTAGGCGAGCCCCTTCGGCTACTCGGGGATTTCTCACTCCCTCCTGATCCCAACCAAACCACTCCAGCCGTTCGTCACGACTTACTCCAAAAGCTACGACAAGCAGTTTCTGCATTCAGAGCTACTGCTCCACGCCAGCCTACTCGGCGCCCTGAACACATCCCTCCTGCACTACTCACAGCCGAGTATGTTTTCGTCAGGCATGATGCTCACCGCAACCCATTACAACGCCCCTACGATGGACCCTTCCAGGTGGTTACCCGTTCTGCAAAGTTCCTGACAATTATCCGGAATGGCAGACATGACACCGTCAGCATAGACAGAGTCAAACCGGCCACCTTACCCGTCGGGCCCCCAGCCCAGCAGCACCATCAACAAACTACGCCTGCACCAGTCCACCCGCAGTTACCACCGGCAGCAACACCACACCCACGACATTTCTGGGCACCCTCTTTTCACCCTCATGTACAACCTGCTCCTGTCATAGAACCTGAACCTGTAATAAACCTCCCTCCTATCATAGAACCTGCTCCTGTCATAGACCCTCCTCCTGTCATAGAACCTGAACCTGCTCCTGCCATGGACCCTCCTCCTGACACAGCCCCTGCAGCAGCAGGAACACAACAACCATTGCTTGTACAGCCTCCTCTAATCCCAAACCCTCTTTCTCCTCCTAATTCTCCCACAGGTTTTGTGTCACTGGACGGAGTTGTTACACGTAGTGGTCGAGTCGTACATACACCTGCCCGGTATGTGTTATGTGTGGGACACAACCCGGACAACATCCAGCCTCCCGCCGCGCCTGGAGGGGAGGGGGAGTATTGTAGTGGACGTCTCCTCTACAAACTAACTGCGTAGCTGCACACCACCTGCTACCGTCTTCCCTAGCAACCAAGCGAGAGCTGTCCCCAGATGTTACCGTATCTTAGCAACGAAACTAGTCACCGGCTACTTCTCGGGTTTTCCCAACATGACTCATAGAGGACTGGCGGCTGCTGCCGGGTGTATATAAGCTCTGTCTCTCCATTGAGATTCATTCTGACCATTCTTCTTGAACAAGCAACATCTCCTCCAGTAAGCTCCACGCTGTTAACATTTCATTCAACCAGGAGGCCAGCAACAGGCAACATCTTCTCTAACGAAGCTCCTGCACATCTACCTCCTTCAACAAGCTACTCACCGAACGTCTTCTACCGTGCAGCCCCTCACCACACGGCACCTCCAGCACCAGACTGTCTATCATATAACTTATATATTATACAAGAAAACCACATTAGAGTTTCCTTCCATCCTGAGTGCTAGACAACTTTAATATCTCGATACCCCTAGAAGTGCATTACAATTAAATAATGAACATTGCTTTCTGACTTCATTCCTTAACAACCCAACTAACAATATTTTATTCTGTTTCAGATTCTGATGGATGGCTGCTTGTGTCAGGACGAGGAACAAAAAATCCAGCCATCTCAGTCACTATCTTGGGTCTGGGAGAGAGCTCCTGAAGTCGGAGTTGCCTACATTGAGAGATGCTTTGAGATACGGTGTTTTAATCAGGCAAATCAATGAAAAGAACCAAAGAACTTACGCAAACAAAGACATTGCCAGTGATATGACCAAAGCTGTCTTGGCACAGTACACTCTGGCTAACGCTCAGTTCAAGCCTCCAGTCATAACAAGTCAGAAGAAGATTAGTGAGAGACTGCTAGCCAGTTGGGAAAAGGCAAGAGATATCTCTCTTGGGAGAGGAAAACTTGCAGTTAAGGACAGCTTTTGCTACAACTGACCAGTTATTTGACATAATTACTTGCAAGTGCCCAATTGTTCTCTGTCCTGAGTTTGGATGCGATCGTGACTCTAAATCCGAGGCCCACATTTTCTGTATTTGCAAGCGTGAACTGAAGATTCCTGTGATCGAACTGGCATTTGTCAAAGCACAGAGAGAAAAGACTGGCAGTATAGGGGCTCTCATGATTTCTAGCCAAGATATTCCGGAGTCCAAGAGACAGGAGGCTGCCACAGAGAGACAGAAGAGAAGAGTTGCCGAGGAAAAGAGACTTGAGAAGGCCCAGGGTGAGGTAAAAAAGGCCGATGATTGGAGTCAAGTTGATTCAGAGTTTAATGACTTCCCCATGGCTGATCCGAGTGCTGACCAGGAGAATGGTGACTTTGTCCCTAACCCAGAAAATAATGATCCCAAACCTTCCAGGCATAAGATTCGAAATAGGAAAGATATCCCGAGCATAGCTCTGGCCAGCATGCGACACCACACTGGTCTCAGAGAAACTGCAGAGATAGCAACAGCTGCCTGGGTTGACGGTGGTTTGATAACACCTGATGATGTTCACCTGGTGATAGATCATAACAAAGTAAGGAGAGCTCAGGAGAAACTTGTCAGTAACCTAGAAGAGGAGTTTGATAAGGGGATAAGAGAAAATGGAATCAATTGTTTGTTCTTTGATGGGAGAAGGGATGACACTAAAGTGTTCATGAAAGTTGGAGATTCTGACAAGTTGTTCCCTGCCATGGTGAAGGAGGAACACTACTCCTGCTGCAGTGAACCAGGAGGGAAGTATTTGTGGCATTTCACTCCAGAGAAAGATGACATCAGGAAACCAGCTGAGATAGTGGCAGATAACATTGTGAACTGGCTCGGAGAGAGGAACGTAGACCAGACCCTGCAGGCCATTGGAGGGGACAGCACCAACACGAACACAGGGTGGCAAGGGGAGGTCATACAGTGGATAGAGCGGAAGATTGGGAGGAAGCTGGTCTGGATTGTTTGTGACCCCCACACCAACGAGTTGCCACTCAGACATCTGATCCAGGAGCTGGATGGCAAGACTCTTTCAAACAACAGATGGTCTGGTCCTCTTGGCAAGATGCTGGACTCTGCCACTGAGTTAGAAATAAATCCGAGCTTTGAAAAAATCACAGTTGGCCCTCCACTCGTTGAGCTTGCACATACTGTCATTGACGACTGACCAGTACTATGGTTGCATGATTTGCAGTGCCATCAAAACTGGGGTCATGCCTGATAGACTTGCTTACCTGCAGATAGGTCCAGTCTCACATTCTAGGTGGCTCACAACGGCTCTCAGGTTCTGCAGAATTTGGGTCACTCGTCATAAACTGAAAGGGAACCAGCTTCACAACCTGAGACTTATTGTCCAATTCATCGTGAGTGTCTACTTGCCAAATTGGTTCAACACCAAGGTCAAGGAAGACTCCTGAAGTCAATCTAGGTGCCAAGACCCTCACTGATCTCATAGATCTGGATAACATCCAGGCTGGCAGTGAGCCCCCTCTTACCTGCAGCCTCACCAATGTTCAAGTCAGAGCTTTCCTGGACAACCCCTTGCATGTCCCTGCCTGGCCCTCGCACACCCAGAGTATAGAGCGTGTGTACACAGCAAGTGAGTTGAGGCCAGCAGTCACGTGTACAGCCAGGAGAGGAGGGAAGGCTACATCCGAGCTCAGGTGGTCAGCAGGGAGGTGATGAGTAGAAACAGAAGCAAGAAAGACATGTTCTCTATGGTGTGCAGCAACACCGGGTCGTAGTAGTAAAACCAGTTTTTGTATTTGATGATTTTGTTTTCTAAAGGAATATTAAATTTAACAAATGTGTCAAGATCATTCGTTTCACTATTCTGGATCATTTTCATCCTAATAAATTAGCCTGATACATTTACTTTACTTATAATAAGCTATTTAGTGGTGTTGGTAAAAGGGTGGGAATACTGAATTTTCATAAGATTTCAAGTTAAAATTTACCTAGCAAAAAATGAAAACTTTTCAAATCTGAAGATATCACATGATTCTACACATAGAACTACATCATTAATACCATGGGCCGATTTTTCAAACTAAAAAAAAAAAATTCGCCTCCGTATGACACCCTAATGGGAGAGTAACCCTCGAGGTTGTCGTTTTCTTTCGCACTGTCGCACGACACCGGCCGTGTTCCGACCGGAGGGTACCGGGACGCTTCCTTCGTAATAATACATTACTGCGACTGGTGTGTGTGTGTGTTGTACATCTGACCGGTATTGTATTATACAGAAGGGTAGGAGGATGGTTAGGTCAGGGCACCCCATAAAGGTTCAGTTTATGTTTTTTGATTTATTTATTTTTATTATTATTATTTTTGGTATTCACTTGGCCATGATTTTTGTTATTTTCAAAATAACCAGAAAGCAGATTTTTGCATTTGGATTTTACCTAACCCAACCTAAACTAACCTATAGCAAAATCTCGCTTCTGGTTATTTTCCAAACGACCGCAATTATATAAACGAGACTTAAATATAAGAGAGGATAGAATGATACATACTCTATTTTCACTATTTCAATAGTTCATTTTATTCTTACTTTGAAAAATAAAATATTAAATATTTAAAAGCACTTTCCATAGATTATTGTTTCTTTTTTTTTTAATAATAATATTCACTGCTAATATTTTCTTACAGCCTAGAGAAATTGTTACCAAAGTGTGTGTTAGTGGATGACAGGTTTGTCTTACACCAACTTCTTTGTGTTAATATCTGGTCAGGTACTGTGGCCATTTCCCATCCAGGCTGTCGTTGCATATTGAACCTCGTGTTCCCCCGCACAAGTAATAATAATAAACAAAAATGAATTGGTAAAAAATATTCATAAATAACAAAAGATCTACATGCAAGATACAGTACATATGAATCAATAAACACATCTGTGCCTTTTATGGCAAATGAGACAAAAAATATAAATTGAAATACTTGCAGCGTCCCTCTCGCTCGACGCGGGCGGAGCGATCGGGCGCGCGATCGGAGACGATCTCGCATCCGCCGACGCGAGGCGCGGCGAAGCCCGGCGGAAAATGGTACGTGGACCGACGCCGTCGTTCGGTCGCTTTAACCTTGCGTTGACTTCGTTTTCGCTCTTATTTTGTTTGTACTCGTTTCCCCCTCCGTTGAAAACTTAACGGAAACTAAAAAAAAAATTTACAAATAAAAACGGGCTGCCTGCAATGGAACGCGACTTGCCGTAATCAAAATTACGGTCGTCCGGATACTGCGGTTCGCTAGTCTCGGGTAACTCGAAGGGATTGATATCTACAATGATCGATGAATGAAACTTGATGTATCCCAAAAGTAAGAAGGTCGCGTGTGATATGCAGGAAGGTGGCGTTCGCCGTACCGCTTGTACGGCGTGAGAAAATAAGTGGTCGCTTTACCTACGTGATAACTACTTTATTATTAACACGAAGACTTTTGGAGGCCCTACGATGTATGAGTCGTGAACCGATGACGTGGACGACGCGGGGACGGCGGCATCTTCCGCCTCGTTCTCGTGGCTTCGGGCCGAGTCGAGTTCCCTCGCGACCGTCTCGCGCCCCTCTCGCTCGGCTCGCGTGCGACGTTCCCCTCCCGGGAATGGGGCGTCGACCGTAGGGCGAGGGCGTTCTCCGCGACGCGTGGAGACGGGAGAGTTTGCTACGATGCGGAGTTCTTGACTTTGGAAAACGATTGTTTGGGGCATTCGTTCGATGCCATTTAGATGCCTATAGCTAGGTGGGAATACAAAGCTGTGACACAAACATTTACATAAAATTAACAGTTTGGATGGACCTTAAATGTACATTAAAAGTAGTATTTATAAATTAAATGAAGTCGTGGGGTACTCCGACCCGCTCGGCAACATATATTTGGTTCAGATCATCCGGCTGCAACGCTTACCGCGAAACGGCGCGGGCCGGAGCTCGTCGACGTGTACCGTACTTCGCGCGCGAGAGAGAGAGAGAAAACTTAAAGTATAATCTCATCGCTCGTTTAAAAAAACCCGTGCGGTCTCCGTACGTCACGGACTCGACGACGCTCGGAAGTACTTTCGTGCATAAACGGGACGCTCGCGTTTTGGGGTCGCAGACGGCCGGACGCTCGCGGTTTAGGGTCCCGCGCGGCCGGACACTCGCTGTTTAAGGCCCCTCGCAGCTGGACACTCGTGATTTAAGGCCCCTAGCAGCCGGACCCTCGTGGTTTAGGGCCCCCCGCAGCTTAAGACTTGTGGTTTAGGGCCCCTCACAACTTGAAGCTTGTGGTTTAGGGCCCCTCACAGCTGGAAACTTGTGGTTTAGGGCCCCTCACAGCTGGACACTCATGGTTTTGGGCCCCTCACAGCTGGACACTCGAGGTTTAGGGCCCCTCTCGGCTTGAAACGCGTGGTTTGGGGCCCCTCGCGGCTGGACGCCCACGGTTTAGGATCCCTCGCAGATAGGACCCCGCACGGATGGACGCCCCCGGTTTAGGGCCCCGCACGACTGGACGCGAGGTCGGTCCGACTTCATCTTTGGCACCGGACGCTCGAACGGAGAAAACCTTCGACCGAAGACGCGTCGCGTCCTCTGCCCGACGCCGGGCCCGTGCGGCGGCCGGGTCGACACTACGACGTCGACTCCCCGTCGGCTTTGAATTTTTTCACGGTGACCGGTGACCTGTTGTCTGTAGTGGGTCTTCTCATGACTACCTTTGGGCCCCCGGTAGCAGCTCCCATCACCGAGTCTGAAATGTTAACGAAAGACGTGAGACAGGACCAAATTTTACGAGTCAAATTTTTTTTGGAGATATATCGTACGTAAAGTATTTTGTAGACGTCGGCCATTTAGAGTTTTAATTATACGGTATACAATAAATAAAGAGTAAAAGTGAAATTAAGGAAACGGCTCGCCCGTTTCTCGTTCTGCAACATTACGTACCTTGAAGCCACCTGACTTGTGTAGCGGGGCCATATCCTTTATCGTTTCTGGCGGCTATCCTGAAGATGATGGCCGGTTTGTTGGTTGTGTCGATGTGTGCTGCTGCCAGCTGGGTGTTGAGCACAGTGCACTGGTTGCTGGCGCCACAGTAAACCCTCATAAAGGCAAGGTGCGCCCCTCCACTCCCGGTCTCCTGTAATTTAACATTTTTCCCAATAAAACATTATCTTTATTTCTCTCCTGTGTGAGATGGATTATGGGGGCAAAAAAAAACTGTACACACAAACAAGGGAGGAAGGTGATGCAAGTGGTGATTGAGTGACTGACTGACTGCTGACAAGGGAAGAGTCCAAAAAGTTTTGGGTGGGGGAACGTGGTGAGCGAAGCGAACCCACCCGGCTGGGGGGTAGCCGTGAGCCTACAGAAATATTTTTGAAATCTCACCAATATCATGGGCATTTTCAAGCAATGTGCATTTGATATTACAAAATATTCTGAGGTCAAAAGTAATTACTTTTTACTATGCAAAAAATGCTTAAATACAATATGTACTGCATTAAAGAAAAAACTATTACAATTTTCTGTTGAAAAGTGGGGGTCCGGACCCCCCCCCCCCCGGCACATATTAAGTGATTTAGTATCAACCAAAAATTATAAAGTTACTTACTTTGCTGACCTGTTGTTGAGTGGCAGCATTCTTGATGGCCAGATACACCGAGTATTCGACTATGTCGCCGGCGGCATTTTGGGGCGGTTCCCAGGACAGGTGAGCCCCTTCGGCAGACTTCGAGATCTTGATGGCCGAAGGCGCTCCCGGATAACCGGGAAGGCAGGTCTTGAAGGCGGACACTTCGCTCCAGGGCCCTCGTCCGCACGCGTTAATGCCCGCCACTCTGAACTTGTAGGCGGTGCCGGGCTGTAGCTTCACTTCGATTCCGCTCGCTTTCCTCTCCGTCACCTCTCCTTCGGCGTCGGTGTACGTCTCGTTCTTCAGAGCTTCGGCTTCGGTGGGAAGGTAATACGCTTGCACCGTACACACCGTTCCTCGGATGATGCCCACGTCGTACCATTCCGTTTCCGGTTTCTTCGCTTCGTTCTGAAAAATTTTGAAGAGGTCATTCAGCGAAGTTCCTCTAATTTGTGCGTTTACCGCATTAACGCTCAAATGTCACGGCACGTCCGCGCATACAAAATTAGAGCACAACTTAAACTACTGATATTGCTGATAAACAACTAGTTATTGAGATTAAGGCACCCAAATTCTTCTATGAAACCACATTATGCTTTCTCATCACGTTTAAAATATTAACCAAAATTTATAACCTGCACAAATACAATGCGGCACCCACCGATTCCTGATTGATGCCGTTGGCGAGTGCAGAGGCGGAGTCTTCCGTCTTGACGGTCGGCGCCGCGGCGCTCGGAGAGGAATTGACGGCGGCGGAAGCGAGAGTGGCCAGGGGGTCCCCCGACTCCGCTCCCGCCGCCCCCGTCTGACCGCTCTCGTTTATTCCTTCGGTGTCCATCGGCTCCTGTTTGATTACCCCGTCGCCGCCTTCGCCCGCGGCGGCGTTCCCCTCGCGTCTCTTACTCTCCGAGTCCTCCCCCTCTCCCGACGGCTGTTTTCTGCCGTCGGCCGTGGCGCCCGCGACGTGTCCCTCTCTGGCACTCTGTGTGGTGCCGTTTTCGGAATGGTCTTGCGTGCCGAGAGGTGTGGCCATTTGTTCGTTGTTCTGTTCCCCTTCGACGGACGGCATTATCAGGCCGGCCTCGGCCGCCAGAGCGGCGAGAGCGGCGTCGGAGGTGACCGGGCCGTCTCCCGCTCCCGCTATCGACGTCGAAGGCTGGTTGGTCGCTGCCGTACTCGAGGCGGTGGCGGTTGTGGTCGAACCGCCGCTGGCCTGAGAGGTCACCAGGGTTACTGTTTTTTGGCCTCCAGCTGTAGTTACTTGTACTGTTACAGGTTTACCTCCAATTGTCAGTGCCTGCAAAATACACAAAAATATAAATGCGGGAAAATGCCGTCGCCGAACGAGCCTTCCCCCGCGCCGACTCGCGACGACGTGCGGTACGTGCTCTCGAACTTAACCGACGTCCCGCGTGCCGTCTCCGGTTTCCGCTACAAGATCAACCCGACGTCTATCCGCACTCGTTAACCCTTCGGATGCGCCGTTCCGCTCGAGTCTAACAAATTTTTAATCTCGACGTGTGATAATCGACTTTTCTCGGCGGTGGCAAAAAAAAAAATTCCATCTCGCAAAGTTCGACGTAAGGCATCCCGGTTTGAAACCCTACTAAATATTGTACACTTGGTAAAAATACCACATTTAAAATTTTTGGCCGAAACAAAATTACACCGCGAATGAAGGTTTTTGATGAAGGCCCGCGAGGCGTGCCGCCAATTGCATTGCAACGAATTAATTTTATTTTTCAAATGAAATAACTAAATTAAGCCTACTATAATATGAAGGAAATATCTCACAATTACCCCGGCGAGACAACATAATTGTTCGGTTCCAAAATCGTCGAACCCCTCCCGATGGATGCTCTCTTTACCGAGTCTACGCCGCGGGTGCACGAAGACTCGCGTGCGGCCTCGCCCTCTTCCTCGATCCCTTCGCTACGAGGCTGCCGCTTTTAATATTTTATTTGGACGAAGTCGGACGATCTCGTCGGGCTCCGAGGCGACCCCGCACGCGGGGAGTCGAGTCATTTACTGCGGTACGCGTCGCATAACTTATGCCGTACGCCTCGTCTTCTTACTTCGCCGTGAGTCGCCCGCTGTAGTACACTTTATATAACTAAAATTACAACTTTAACGAATAGGAAAGCGAGCGAGAGAAACGACATCGATCGACCGACCGCGGCAATTACGTCCCCGGAGACGCGACGGCTCGGGTCGTCCGTCGCCGAATTAAAATTGAGGCTCGAGAGACTAAAATAAAATAATTCAACGCGACGCGCGATAAATAACGCGGAGGGCCGGCTTCCTCCGAAAGAGAGAGGACGTCGCCTCTCGCGTTACCCGCTCCTCCCCCCGGCACCGAGGAGGACGGTCAGACCCGTCTCCCCCTCGGCGCCGGGCAAGAGAGACGAGTCTCGCGACGGTTTTGACGGAGGCGACAAATTGCAATGTGCTCACCTGCTGCCCCGACTGTAGCAGACCCTGAGCAGGAACAGCAATGATCTGGCCCGACCCGGTGTTGAGGAGAGTCGTGGTACTCGGCGTGCCGGATTTGGCCGTTATCGTCACCGTCTTGGTGTTGGCGCCGGCCTGACCCGCCTGCCCCGCCACGGTAATGGTCACGGGCTTGGCGACGGCCTGTGTGGTCGTGGTGCCGCCGACGCCCCCCGACGATACCACGATCATCTTGACTCCGCCGCCGGCCGACACCTGCGATGCCGTACCGGGAATTAAACCCAAGAATTATAACTACGTATACCTTATTTGGTTTTGTTTACATTTCTTGTTTTTTACTTTCAACAGTTATAGTATTTGTGTTAAGTTGAACCAAGAACACTTTACAATACCTGACATGCTTGTCCTCCAGCCTGTGTGGTGATGGTGTTGGTGGTGCCTGCCTGTAAGGTTCTTATGGCGGAGGCGGTGGTGACCACGATGATCTGCGACGTCTGCGGTCGTATTCCGGCGGCCCCGCCTGCCCCTGGCTTGGTGATCACTATCGTTTGTTTCCCCCCAACTGTCGTGGTGCCCAGCTGAAGATAAACAAAACAATCACTACCGACGGACTCCGACGACGCGAGGAGTTAAAACGGTGACGTGCAGAATGGTGAAAGTGTGATGGAAAATTAATGCCAAAATCTGTTGAAAGTAACATTTATATCTGATCTTTAAATTAAAATAAACAAGGTAATAAATACAATAAACCTAAAAACTCTGATGTGTGTCAAATTTTCAGAATGATTTATAAAATAATAAAGATATTGTTGTTTGCGTTCGCTCTGTATTCGTGTTTTCCTGGCCGATTTGACCGTTTCCATGTCGACGGATGCAAAAGAAATAATTCGCTCCCGCTCTTAACGTTCGGAAATTAGTCCGGAGAGGAGGGAGTGAGGCGGCGCGGGAAACGCAAACGGACGACGGGACGATTGCCCTCGACCCGCGTCTCCGCCTCGCGCTCTTCTCCCCGTCCGTTGTACGCGGGCGAAATATCCGTACCTGTTGTTTTGCTATGACGATGTTCTGTCCCTGTCCGATCGTCTTGCCGGCTGTCTGAGCGCCGGCTGCGAGGCTGAGAATTTGTCCCTGCTGTGTGGTGGAGGTGGTCATGATTGGCTTACCGCCACCGCCGGCTTGAGTGGTGACCAGCTTGACGATGGTGGCCCCTTGACCCCCTACGCCAGCTTTACTCTGCACCAGGTTCATTTTTGACATCTGGAACACATAAGCCACATTATAGTAGCGAGTTACCGATGCCTGACTTACGAACGCCAGAACAGTACTGTACTTACAAATGAGATTCCAATATATTCATCACAAAAAATTTAATCTTTTACATTACAGTACAGTACTTTATATTGTTTAACGTTATTATATTTACATTATTTGGTGTGTGTGGAATATTATTGTTGTTTTATATGGGCCGTTCTGACTTACAGACGGAGTCCGGGAACGTAACCCGCTTGTACCTCGGGGACTGACGGGTATACTAATAAATCACCGTGGGTGTTCGTGCGACCCGTCTACCGTATTCCGATAACCGCGTGGGAAAAAGAAAATACGAAATACCCGAGTGCTCTCGTGTGCTTCCCATCTTGCGTTCCCCCCAGATGCGAAATACACGAAACAACTCGAGAATTTCGTATGTGCTTTTTCCTTTGTGGTTATCGGCATGCAATAATAGTACGGTACGGTGGCCCCTCATTTTTCGCAGGGGTACGTTCCCGATATTACAGCGAAAGAGCAAAACTGAGAATACTCTTTTTCCAGATTTTCACTGAGGGGGATAATCTAAAAGTGTTCCCAATCTATTACTTAAAACATAAATATTGAACCTACAGGTATTTGGTTAGGTTAAACTAAGGTGGTTATTCTTCATGTGAAATAAACTGGGGAGCCTAAACATACCAAATAAACTGGGGAACTTAATCATGTAAAATAAACTGGGAAGCCTAAACATATTAAATAAACTGGGGAACTGAATCATGTAAAATAAACTGGGGAGTCTTAATCTTGAGAGCGATCCACTACGACACAACGGTGGACTTACGGGCGTGAGACCTTTACTCGTCTTGACGAGAGTGACGATCTGCGGTTGTGACCCCGGTACGCCGCTCTTCTGGAGGATGAACTGCTTGCCGCCCTGTCCGGTTACTGTTCCTCCTTGGGGATTGAGAACCTGAGGATACAACAGCTATTTAGTAAGGACATATTAACTAAAGTCCTTTAAATGAAGCGGCGACAACGAGAAGCCCGACGAAATGTTTTTATCGAGTATTCGATAGACCTCGAAGAGGATTTGAAGTGACCGACATCATCGTCGAGGAACCGCACAAACAACGACAGATCCGAATGAGGGAATATACGAGGTGCTCTAGACAAGAACGAGATGACGTACGCGCTTATTTTGCCAATGCCGATTGGGTGTCCCTTATCCGAAATTGCCAAGTCCAAAATGCTCTGAAATCCGAAAGTCTATTTCGTTATATTTATGGAAGATAATACAATGAACATAGCATATATCATAATTTTTACTAGGGCAAGTATGTACGTGTAATGAATAAAGGTAAGACGCGGGCCGCTTAGTGCCGAACAGACGGTAGTGACTGCTTACCTTTCTGGGTCTTTAGTGTACATCTTATCATATATTTCATACCCAAAATTATTAAATTATATATCAAAAAACTATCGGCAGAATATGTGTATCCGTGTGCTGTAAATGAAATATAAAGTTGGGCCCCATCCCTGCTGGGTGAGCTACCCCATTATACAAGATACCCAACCTGCATACAGCACCCTTGTACAGTACTAACAGACATATATGTTTTTTTTTTATTAAATTTGGATCATGAAATGCACATTAGAGTAGAACCTCAATAAATCGAACAAATTAGGGCAGACTCCAGTCCAAGAAAATGCAAAAGTCCAAAAAAGGCAAATCCACTGTGGGAAGGGGGGGATGCCTTGGCGATAATGCTGCTTATCTGAACTGTTTAAAGAAAATCAGATGTTATGTGATTAATGCCCTTCAACAACTTAGGTTTTCAAGTGCAAAACAAGGTACATAAGAAATATGAAAGAACTCTCTGGCTTGAAAAGTAAACTGGTTGTCAACAGCTGTTTTCACCACGAACTGCCTGCCTGCATACATCACAGTGTCTTGGCTCTTGTTAGGCCTACAGTAAATCTGATTATACCGTTGTGAGCAAATGTTGTTCTTTTCGTAAGATTTTTTTTAATCTCGCTCATTTCTTAAAATATGTACTTACACAATTTTAACCCATTTCTTAAAACCTTCCGGTATCCCCGTTAAAGATATTACGTACGGTACTCTACAAAAAAAGGTCACGTAAATGAGGGCGGGTAGCGAGATACAGCACGCCGATACCATATACGCGGAGGCGGGACTCGGTCCGAGACCGAGAGTCCGAGACGCGTGCCACAGAACGCCCACGTACAGACGTTTGACCCCATTTATGAACGCACAAACCGTCTGGATTTTTCATATATATATATATATATATATAATTTTTTTTTTAATATTTCTGGTGAAGATCGAGGCAGTCTAGAGCACCCCAGACTCTGAAAAAAGTATTACAGTATCTCCAACCCTCCTCCCAATACAGTAAATTTGCTTTTTTCGGACTGGGGTCTGCCCCAAAAGTCAAATTTATTGAGGTTCTGCTGTACAATATATTGCAAAAAAAATAGTGATACAGAAGCCCAGCATACAGTGTATAACTGTTCCTCGGTCTTACCTGTCCCGAGGGCGACACGAGTCTGACGGTCTGCCCGGCGATGGTGGTTGCCACCTTCACGCCCTGTGGTGTGACTAGCGTACTGGGCTGAACGACTTTCACGGTGGGTGAGCCCGCACCGCCGGTGCTGGTGGTTATCTTCTGTGTCGCAGCAGCTGCAGCGGCCAGGGCTGCAATGCCCGACATGCCGCCTTGAGAGGTGGCCGTAGTCGTGGCCGGCAGACCGCCGCGTAGAATTTGAGTCGTCTGTCCCCCGGCGCCGATCACCTTTATCTGTCCTGCCCCGGGCGTCCGAACTCTCACGATATTACCACCGGCTGCGAGAGAAAAATTATCGGTCTCGTGTTAATAACCCCCCATTGTACTCCGAGGTAACTCGAGTACATTAGAGAGAGTTAGTAATAGATAGAAGTGTCATTTAAAAAGCCGAGGATGGGAAAATAATAGAATCCGAAAGACTTACCGCACGTTAGGTATTTTTACCTCCGGTTGCTAACATTATTAACATAAAAATATCAGAGAAATTTACACAGTACATTTACAGAAAAGCCACTTATTGGTGAACAGAATTTGAAGGAGTATGGCAGATTACAAGGCACTCTGGGTGTGAACAACACAAGATGAGAAGAACTCTTAGATTTCTTACTTTTTTTAATGTGATAAAACACTGACCTCTTATAGTATGTGGAGAGGTCGATGTCAGAGGTGTTATGGTCCCGGGTGTAGCTGGTCTGAGGACTGTCTGAGTGAGGGTGATGGCTTTGTTGGTCGGCGTCGCAGGCAGACTCGGGGTAGCGGGAGTATTCGTTGGGGTGGTTGGTACCGGGGCTGTTGGTGCTGGGGTGGGGATGTCATATTTTTGGATCTGTTGGTAAGGAATAAAATATAGTCTTTAACAACTAAACAATCAAAAGGTACATTACACAATATTTTATATACGCGTGTCTCGAGTCGTACGTCGTGGCAAAGTCGGTATTCCCGTCTCTCTCTCTTTCTGTGTTCCTCTCTATATTTCTCACTTTCTGTCTCTCTCTCCCTCTCTATATCTATCTCCCTTTTTTTTTTTGCAGGTGAGGGAATAAAAATAACCTCTATTTCTTCCTCTGAAGGTCACCTGAAATCTGTCACCCACCAAAATTGCCCAAAAACCAATTAAGAACTAAAGTAGACCATCACATCCGAATGGTGTGGAAGGGTCGAGTTACATTGTACTGTACTGTATATACACCAACAAGAGTTCCTGTACTGTTGGTAAATATTATATTTTACCTAAAATCTTTAACATTTCACTCTAAAATCTGTCTCAGAATAAAGGTGTACAAAATCTGACATCCAGATTACTGTAGAGAAAATATCTAAACAAGAAGGTGTCTAAAAAAGGAATATTAAATCAAGTCTAGATTCAGATATACCTGTCTACACACCTGAAGTATAGATCAGATATTCTTGTTTACACACCTGAAGTAAGTAGGCATCGGCAGTAGGCGTGGCGCCCCAACACACTTCCAAGGTGGTCGTCGAAGCTCTCACCAGCTGCACTCTCCCGGGGGATCCCGGTACGCTCGTCTCCAGGTACCAGAGGTCCTTGCAACACACCTGTGAGTTCCGGGTACGTTAACTTTACGCTTCGCGCGCTACGGGTCTCCCCCGACGACGAGAAACCGCTATCGTGTGACAATACGCTGTGTATGTTCTTGAACCGTAAAAACTTTGCCTCGGTAGACCTACAGTTATAACACGCTAGAATACTGTATAACGTGATACTATATTGTATATCATAACATTCCAGTACAGTATACTGTACAGTTGCCCACACTTCCACTTGGTACGGTTAGCTTTGCCAATCCTCTCTCCGTGACGTGTGAACCCGGAGTGTGTCGAAGCACGACTCCGGAGTTCTCCCGGAATGTTTCCTCGAGAAACCGGTACGGTAACTCCGGTGCTTCGCTCGCTTCTATACCTCCGTATGTGGTGCGGGTGGTTGCGAGCCCCGCCCGGGGTACGCGTACATTTGTCGATCTTTGGAACGATCTGCCAAACCCCCGCAGCCTCGTGCGTCTGGCGCGCGTGTCGGCCAGACCGAGACGGCGAGGCGAATGGGTTCCTCAAGAACCGTCGGCGACTCGCAGACGATTTTACGCGCTCTGCAGATGTGCGGTCCGCAATTCGTCGACGAGGAATTTAAAAATATCTATAATATTGGGTTGAAGTTAAAGTACCCTGGATCTTTAATAGACAAATGCCTTAACATTACTAAGAAATCTTTTTATAGAACCGATCCTAACCCTCACGACAATAAGAATCTCTTGGTGTTACCATCTAACGATCGTTTCTCTCAAATTCCTCTACAACCGAAAACCTGGAATGTAAATGTAACATTTAGTAATTCATACACTGTAAAACAAATGTTAATTAAGAACTCCCCCAGCAATGCAGGTGGCTGCATTTACAAGGTTCCTTGCAAGGAATGTAATATGTTCTACTTAGGCCAGACGGGCAAATATTTTATAACTAGACTTAAACAGTACAAATATGGTGTTAGGACAGCCCAAGAATCCAATGCTTTGTGCATTCATAAGAGATAATAATCATTCCAATGACTGGGATAATGATCCCTCAATCATACCTTGCAATTCAATCGTCGGTAGAACGTTATAGAATCCGGTCTCGTCACACGCGCCAAATCCGTCGACGTGAATCCGAGCGACGGCAAGTACAAATGAGATAATTTTGGCAATCGGAATATTTATAACCCGGTACGAGGATTAAATATGGTGGACGCCTGCTGTCCCTGAGGACTTGATCTAACTCTCCTTTACTGAATATATTGGCCTTCTTAACTAAACCTTAGACTGTACTCACCCCTGAAGATGTGAAATACACAAAAGTGCTTGGGAAGTTTGTGCTTTCTTTTTCCTTTGTGGTTATCAGCATATACAGTATGTGTGTTCTCCACATAATAAAGAAAACTGGATGCAATAACATCTTACTGATTTTTTCCAAATATTACCTAAAACCACATTGAAAACATCACCATTCACAGATTGAGGTCGCACGACAGTACGGTGTGTCGATTCGCCTCCCAATGGAGAGTACCCCTTACCCCCTCCTTAAATAACAACATTTTGCCACACTGTCACCAACTAGAAGCTGGCAGAATGGAACCAATGACGTTCTATTTTGTAACCCATATTATAACTATAACAATGCAAGAATTGCTTGCATTCAGAGAAATAGGTGGAATGCTTATTTAGCTACTATTGTGAGGTTCCTTAGGGCCATTCCGGGAGTTTGCCCTCACTCGCGAGCGCTTCGGAACGTGCTTCGACGCTCTCCGGGTTCGCGCGTCGTGGAGAGAGCATTGGCAATGCTACCCGTACCGAGTGCAAGTGTGGGCAACTGTACATGTTCTTGACCCATCCCAACTTCACCTCAGTAACCTACAATTGAAGTAACAGTCGTATTAATGGACACGGTAATACCCTGTAAGCATCGTAACCTCTATCTACAGCACAGAAATTGGTATCATTTAATTAACAACCTAAATAAATGTATTGGATGATTATGAATGATCTTTCCAATTTTGAACATAAAGAAAAATTTAACAAAACTACAGCAAAAAGCAAGAGATACTAATAAAATAAAGAGTTAGCAAAAATATTTTCAAGATACTGTTTTCAAGTTTAACATACAGTAAGCTATACAAGTTTAATATGAGCTATACAAGTTTAACATGAGCTATACAAGTTTAATATGAGCTATACAAGTTTAACATGAGCTATACAAGTTTAATATAAGCTATACAAGTTTAACATGAGCTATACAAGTTTAATATGAGCTATACAAGTTTAACATGAGCTATACAAGTTTAATATGAGCTATACAAGTTTAACATGAGCTATACAAGTTTAATATAAGCTATACAAGTTTAACATGAGCTATACAAGTTTAATATAAACTTTCTAACAGTCTCACATATCTTTTCCTTCATATTGTGTGAAGTTGCTGCCATTGGTGGAGCAAAAACAAAATTTTTGTCATAAACCCAAATGAAAAATGTTAATCATCTGTTATTATAAGTTAAGAATAAGTCAAAACCTACGTGACAAAGAATAAGAAAACTAATGAGGAGCAACTTGAGCCCACCCCAAAACAGCCATCTCCCGATTTTTGGAAATTTACCTTACGGAAATTCGCTACAACGGCAACGATTAATTTACGACTAAAATTTGATAAATTTAAAGCAAAACTCACTATTACGTAAATTGGGGAAAAAATATTCAAATATATATTAGAAGAAAATAAAAACACTTTACACACATTTAAAATTTTCTCTCCTCTCTCCCTCCTTCAAAAAAATACACAAAAACTGCTATAATAACAATAAAAATTATTCAAAATGCATCATATAATACAACAACACACATGTTGTGTATAAAAAAGGCTGAAAGTGATCCACACAGCCGAGCCGACCACCCCACGGACTCAAACGCGTGTGGCTGCCGCAATGTGCCGTGTGTGTCGTGAGGTCACATCGGGCACCGGGGGAGGGAACGTGGATAGGCTGGCAACATAATTACAGCAGCCTCACATATCAGATACTTGTGTTAAAATGCTACATCATACATTCACTTAACACACATTTTTCTTATTTTATAGCTTTATATTTTTTTATTTATAAGTAACATTTGAGTTTAGTAGTTATTTCTCCACAACTTTTCTAGTCTCAATACATGTAATATTAGCAGTGCGTAAAGCCATCTCACAGCTGACCGGTGATGCGTTATGGGAATACCTACGGTATATTTACTCGAACGAGCATGCGCGCGTCTCCTCTCTTTCACTGGCTTAATGCCTGCAGCATTGTGTGTTTGTGTTCGGGATAGTATTAATAAAGTTATTTCTCGAGTTATTACGTATACTTGTTAAGATTTTGTCGTGTAGAAATGTGTGTCCACATCTATAATGAGGCACAGTGCAGGTATTTGGGGAAATTGGCATCACTATAAGGAATTACAGTTTATAGCAAGATTTTTCTGGACCTTAAACTGTCCAAATATCAGGGGATGACTGTATAAAATAATAATAATAAAACACTAATAATAATAATAATAGCCCAATTGTAAACTTGTATAGGTATTTTACTGAATAGCTAGAGTATCTGTCAATCTAGGTAAAATACAAATACTAGACAAACCTGGTTATTCCATGCTTTTCTGTAACCATCTCTGCCAGACCATACAAACAGACGCGAGTGAATGCCAACAGAACAATGCCCAGCTCTAGCACGAGGCATTTGGTCCTCAAACTTTTCCATCATGGCATTTTCCCACGTCATATTTTCTGGAGGAGGGGGGGAGGGGGAAGTAGAGATTATTAATTATGGTATGTGTGTACAATATATGCTTAACACAAGTCTTTACACTCTTAAGAGTTTAACAAAAACAACAAGTAATATCTCCGTTAACCGGAATCCCTCGGACCCGGAACTCTACCGGAATTTTCCGGAAAATTGCGACCCGGGGAACGATTTTCCGGAAAATTACGGCTTTGGGAAAATTTTCCGGAAAATTAAGAAACAAATTTTCCCGATACCCGGAAGAGTTCTGGGGAAGAGGAATTTTTTCCGACTCCGAGAGTCGTCTCGTTAAGCGGAAATCTCTCATTCCCGGAAGTGCTCTGCTCCGGCTGACGGGGATATCGCCGTAGCTAGTTTCTCGGGGCATCTAAACCGGTCGTTAAGTCGAGGCCACGAACTAGACCATTCGCAAGTATTGCTTTTGTGAATTCCCCGAAGATTACGTAACCCCCGGGTGCTCGCCCGACGTGTCGGCCCTCGGCTCAATCGGCCTCGAGTTTAACCGTCTCGGAACTGTCGAGGGGATAATCTTTCGTGTGATCTATAATTGTTAATGTTCACTGGTTAAATGCTGATGGTTCTGTTAAGACTCACTACAGTACAGTACTTGTTATGAGCTTATTATCTCTCATTGTATCTGTACTCCTTCAATTAATCCACCTGTGCTGCCTCATCCAACAGACAATGTTTTTCATTTCACACATTTGCTTTCACGCACGCACGGCATAATTTTCTGATCGAGAAACGTGGGTACGCTTACGTCCGTACGCATACGCGCGCATACGCTATACCGTATTTGCCCGCATGCGAGATGCACCGCCGCATGAGACTCGCCCCTATTTTACAAGGATATTTTGTGGAAATGTTTTTAGTACGTTTCATCATACAATAATTGAAAGTGACTTTAAAGTGGTTTTGTAGGGCAAAACATGATTTTGTGCATGTAAATACAATATACACTGGAATCAAGTAGGAACTCATATATAGTAAGATTATACTAACCCAACTCTACCTCTGATCGGAGCAGCTGCGTGGCTTATTTATAATTCGGTCGAGAGAATTGCCGACGGGATGTGACGCTCGTATTTTTGGCCCTCAGTTTTGCTGCCGCGATCTGCCACCGGGGTGTAGCGCCATCGCCATTGTTTTGGCGTCGTCGGCTCGTTGCAAATGGCCAAATGGCGGCTGAACTTTCCGTTAACATTTCTTTAATCTTTCTACGGGCAATTTTCATTTAGATAATAAACAAATGTTTCATAAAGGTAATACAGTCATTATATAATGTAAGACACGTATCCGGTGTGGGTTACGTACGAAGGAGGTACAGCGAGACGTTGCGAGCTTCCCTCTGCCGTTAAGCCATTATTTACGTCTTCGGCAGATTTGCCGTGAGTTCGTGGTAATGGATCGTGATAATTTGGCTTGTTTTTCAGTATTTTATTATTAGTAACACAATTTTTGTGCTCGGTGGACTACCGCTCGTCCCGGGCTCCCTGGCTGGGCGCCTCCGCCTACGGCTCTCGGCCTTCCGTCCGTAATATACGGGCGCATTAGACGCGGGATAATTTGCGATGCATTTTTTAAAAAATGCGTCTCGTACGCCGGCAAATACGGTAATTCTCGCCGGGCGCGCTCCTACGCGATACATACGCCGGGTACACTCCCACACAGGGAGAAACTTACCGAGGTTAAGACAAGCGAGGGTGTTAGTGCACTTCCACTCTGACTTCTCGTTGTTGGGTCCCTTGAGCTCCTCCAGCACTAGAGGGACCCAGCCCCCAAACACAAACATCTTGCTGCCCAGCAGAGTAGCCGAGTGCAGCGAGCGAGGCAGAGGATGAACGCCGATGACTGTCGGCCGCTCCCAGTTCATGGAATCTGAAACGATGAGTCGTGGATACAGTCAAACCCCCACATGACGGACTTATCTTTCCGTGTAATCCATTTCAAATATGACAGACCCTCAATGTAACATACAGTGACCTCTATGTAATCTGTCAGATGGGGGCTTCACTATACTATGGTAATGTGTGTATGTAAATAACAACTAAAGTTTTGTTTTTTTAATCAATAATATTAGGTGCATTCCTTTTAACTCTTATAATAATTCAGATAGACTGAAATTTTAACCTAATTCTAAAGGTATATTTATGCCAGACTAAGAAGATAATATGAAACATAACGTGAATATTAGCCCCCTAAAAAAGACTTATTTAACCAATGAATAAATGCCCTTGTGATACTGGAGGGGGGGTTTAGGTTAAAAATACATGTTAACTACATCTTCATAATGGTGGTAATGGTATCAGAGGTATCCATTACAACGGTGCCCACCTGTTTTCAACCTTCCCCTGTACTTCTAAATTTACCTTCCCCTCTCATCTCCTTTTATCTTCAGAGCCTATAAGACTCCCTTCCCTCCATCTACAGCAGCAGGATATAATGGACTTCTCTCTCCGTATAACCAGTTGGATGGAAGGTTTCACGCCCGACGGACTCTCGATTTGACGGACTTTCGTTTCCGCGTAGTTCGCTGGATGGAGGTTTTACATCCGACAGAACCTTGACGTAACGGACTTTCCTCTCCGTACGGTCTGTTAAATGAGAGATCGTTAAATAAGAGGTCATTAAATAATGGCTTTCAATGTACTTACTGATATCCAGTATCCACAGATCTCCCAGCCTGGTGCCACTCATCCCTCCGTATATCACCAGCTTCGGTTTGTCTTTACTCATGTACGCAACACCCGTGTGGGATTCTCTGGGTGGGGGAGGAACGCCGTACGTGTCTGGTATGTCCCACGACATCACGTTTGAGTTTGCTCGTAATTCCAATGTGTAGAGATCATTGAGGTACCTGAGGGAGAAGACACAGATGTGAAATGATGATATTGAAGCAGTGGGGGGGTACCTAGGCACATTCCCCCCTCAAAGAAAATAATATTGAGAAATATCTCCGTTAGCCGGAATTGAAATTTTCTCGAAAAGTCGTTCCCGATGCCGGAATTTTCCGGATAATTATCGCTTTCGGAACGAATTTCCGAGGGGCACGGATACCGGAAAATTCTGAGAAAATATTCCCGATACCCGAAAAATTTGGGGGACGGGGAGTTTTTTCCGGGTTCGAGAGTAGTCTCGTTACCCGGAAATCTATCGTTCCCGAAAGTGCTCTGCACCAATTGTTCCGGCTAACGGGGATATCTGTAATAATAATAATAACGTAATGTAGTAGTAGTTAATAATAATAATAATATATGGTACACACATCTCAACACTGTACTTACTTTGGGATGTTATTTTTGGGGTCTTCACTGTCATTGGCCAGTCCACCAAAGAGATAAACCTTATTACCAATGAGGGTGAAGGAGTGACCGAGTCTGGGACACGGCGGTGGACCATTACGAGGAGGTCGAGGCTTGACGCGCTTCCACTCCCACCTGGAGGCTTGTAGCTCGTACAACTCATTACTGAAGTGAAAACAAAGTCTGTTAAAATTTGTTGTACTGATTAGCCCCAAATTGATTTCATGTTAAGATTAGTCCCAAGCTCATTTCACCAGGTGGTTAGCCCCAAGCTTAACTCACAATAAGATTAGCCCCAAGCTTATTTAACCTGAGGATTAATAACCCTAATACTAGCCATGGGAACAGTTCTACCAGTGGTCAGCAAGTGAGGCGATGGCAGCATTATTGAGAGTACCCTAAGTTGTGGCGTACGAGTCGACATTTTAAGTTTGAAAAAATCTCTCCAAAACCAGAGGTCGACTTATACGCCGAGTATAAAAAGTGAAGCTTTACCACGGAGTGGTAAACAGGTGGAACGGCCTGCCCGACACTCGCTGTGCTTCGCTTGGCGTAACTCCCGTGGCCTGCCGCTAATATTTCCTACCGAAATTTACGTTTAGTAAACTCATTTAACGCAGATTAAAATAAAATAGTAAATTCCGGTATAATTAAACGAACACGACGCCACACGTCATTTTCAACAGCCGACGCACAGTAAACAGTCGATCGGAACTCCACTAAACCCGGGCAGCCAGCCGGGCAACCACGTGCTACTACCCGCCAATTTGTTTACACCGGCCGATGCAAATGGCGGATCGTAAGCCGGGTGTACCGTAATGTTATACCGTATATAGCGGTACTATCGAGGTGCTATACTGGTATGCTGTGTAAACAATTAATATTTTATTGGAGGTGCTGATTCTGGCTTGGCGTTTACCCAAGTTATTACGAAGATAAATTACTGAAGATTTTTGGCGGTTGCCCGTTGCCCTACGTAGATCTTGTTGCCCACTTCCCTTTTTGCATGAACTATATAATATATATACAGTATATCAAATATTCGCCATAGGCTATATCCACATTTCAGTACTAGCCTATGTTTGGGCCTTGGGGGGGTCGACTTATAAGGCGAGTATAGGCCTCGACCTGAATTTTGAACTAAAAATCTTATACGTCGCAACTTACGGCGACTCGTGACAACGGGACGAATAAATATGTACTTGTGTGTGTGTGTTGAGCTTGAAGGCAAGAGGTGACATGAATGTGACTACACCTCACCGTTAGGACCACTGCCGTGTCATAACCCTTTATGTACGGGTTCCTTGGAGTTGAATAAAATCGTCTGGAATTAGCCAAATAAATTATTAAAAGTGACATCCTGAAGTGAAGGGGTTAATGGGCCGTAACTGTGCCGATCCCCCGAGCTAACTTTAAGATTAAGCAATGGTCCTAAACACACGTAAACAGGGGATATATACGGGTACGGTATATCGTGTCAAAACTCTTGAGAATGGAGGTCGCCGTGGTGGCATCCAACAGGCACAAAATTAAAAAAAATATACATATACAAACTTAACTCTGTACTGGATCTGGTTCCAATCCGGACGGCAAAAGCTTGCCTGCGTTTTCTTTCTCGGGATAACGTGTCACAAATGACGATTGCTCACGTGTCGTGCAATACGGTAAACCCTCGTTTCTCGCGAGGGTTAAAAATTCCAAGGAATGGCACGAATAGGCAAAATCCTGAATAGCAAATTATACTATCATAGTGTTATTCTGCATGAGAAGATTAAGTCACCCATGCTAATGTACAGCTCCTCCCCGACTTACGACCTGGATTTGGGTCCCCGACCCCGTCGTAAGTCGGGGAGGAGCTGTACTTACATTCGTGTGTGGTCGGCTGATGCGGCATATCCTGTCAGCTTCACATTATGGAGCGAGAACTTTTCTTAAAATTCTCGAACCACCCTTTACCGGCATTACGGCCCGAATTCGGAACGCTGGTTTGAAACTACACGAAGGTTTAAACCAAAGATTGAGCGAAGTTTGAAGATTGTCGGTACTCAGAACACCGGCTTGAGCCAACACAAAGATTTAAACGGGGTTTGAGACTAGAATTGTCAATCCTCGCGTTAATCCAGCCCGAATGAAGGTTTAGCGGTCGGTCTATCATTCGAGATAGCACGTTAACTTAATTTTGATAGAGCTCACACGTTACAGCAATATCGCCAGATACAAAACAAAATAATATCCCATTCATAACAAATAATGTAAATGAAGTGATGTTAAATAGTATAATGTAAAAAATTTAATTTTAATTACAGGTACATATTTTTGTGATTCCGTTTAAGTTGACCGTTCGTGACCGGGGAGTGCCCGTACTATACTGTACCGAGAAAAAAATCGAGCACTTTTCAAATACAGTACAGTCCTGCTATATACTTTATATTTTAGATTCATTTTTTTTTAAGGATTTCATGATTCCTGAACCTCTTACATTCAAAGACATTCCACTTACATCATCGTGAATGTTGGTATTTTGGTCGTAAAAAATATGCTACATAGAAATATGTTGAATGTGTTTTTGATGGGATATACAGCACAGTATAGTAAGGCAATCCTCACTGTAAAATCTAGTACCAATAATTACAGAAAAGGTCGATCCTGAGTGTTAATATTGTTACAAGAATTATGTTCTCAAGCTTATTTTCAAAAGAATCCAGGGAACACATGAGGATTAGCACCCCCAGCTTATTTCACCCAATGATTAAACACCCAAATCCTAACCTAACCAACCCCCCCCCCCCCCAGGTAGCATAAGGGCGTTTAAACAACTCGTTAAATAAGCTGGGGGGTGACGGGTGGTGGTGGCTACTGTTAATATGAACCCAACGATGACTTGTATATTTACCTGTACTTCCCATATTCGACCATTCCACCAAAAACAAGGATGCGCGTTCCGTCCACAACAAAACCGTAAGCGGCACATCCCGGCGGCACGTCTCCCTTCACTGGTGGCACAAACCATTGATTGGTGGCTGAAAGGAAGAGAAAACCGGATAAAGAAAATGTACATATTTACCGTCTGGCAGAAATGACGAAACACAATACCTGCCGCACCAATAAGAATAGATAAAAATAACTTTAAAGTCTCTCCCGAACCATTAACTCCTTGTGTACGAGCTCCCCTCTGTCCTGAATAATTGTTTGGTGTTGGCTAAATAAAATATTAAAACTGGTGTCCCTGTAATGAAGGGGTTAGTGGAGATAGTCTACTAGCTCCAGTCCATGGGTTCCCCTCTGTGCTGAATAAAATTGTCAAACAAAATACTGTATTAAAAGTGACGTCCATTTAGTGAAGGGATTAATTACTTCAAAACACTTTAACCTTTGAAAAATACAAATGTGAGTCTTGTCTAACAGTAAATAATATATAATTACAGGAAAGCCTCAGATATTACCAAAGATTTGCAGACTTTTACAAGATTGCCCCGTTGGACAGAGCCTCACAAGCAGGACACCGTCTACGACCCTGTCGGTGGTTTCCGCAAGAGGCACATTTCTGAGCTCCAAGAGCAATGGGTTACTGCCAAGAGCCTTGAGGTGTCCTGTACAAGTTATCAAATTACAGTACTGTACAGAAAACTGCATCAATATCTGGTCCATACTCGAGGGTAATGCTACAGATGCGTATGACTCTGACCTCTTGTGTGTCAGATCAAGAGCTAACGTTGGTCAAAAGCAGTTTCTATTGTAGTTCTCGGGTCTTGGTGTTGAGAACATGCAGGTAAATATAAAATGAGCAAAGGGCCACTCAAAATCATTTTGAATGGATCCTTCTCAATATTCTTCAACAGTTACAGACACCTAACTGTCCATAAGCCAGTTAAATGCTGCACTTCAGTCACCGAGCGTTTCTCCCGACTCTTGTCGTGTTGGGAGGAGCTGCCCAACAAAACCATTTTTAGATGTCACAAACAAATTTTTAAGCATTTTAAAAAAATAATTGCATCAACTACAATGATTTCTCTAATCCCTTGTGTATGGTGTCGTCACTGAGCTGAATAAAATCATCTGGTGTCAGCCAAATAAAATACAGTAGTAAAAGTGTCGTCCCTACAGTGAATGAGTTAAAATACTATAGTTACAGTATATGAATTACAATGAGCAATGTTTTTATACAGACTAGCAGACACGGTTTATGAAAGCTTGTACATTAGCACCCCACCTTATTTCACTGTAAGATTAACCACTCTAACAGCAGTCAAATGTAATCTACACCAACCTAACCCTAGGTAGACTTAGGGTGTTTAATCCTGAGGTGAATTAAGCTGGAGGTTAATCTTCAGGTGGTCCTTTAACTTGTATGGTTTATGCTGTTCTATAGATATAACAAACTTTTAAGTGAATGTTGTAAAGCAGTTCTCCCATTCCTTTCAACAGTACAGTGTTGTTTCATCCAGAGGGTAAATACCTGCACTTTGTTGCTGCCCAAGTGGAAACATCATTAGTTTATTATTTAGGTTTTATTAATTAACTCATCCCTGTCATATAACACGCAAGTAAACACCATCATAATAGTTCACCAAGCAACTCTAAGGCACACATGAAGCACAGATACATCACACCAGAAGCAGTGATTTCGGTCGAAGGCATCACAAGGTCACTCAAAACATGACAATAATGCCGCAGAGGTCAAATAAAACCCAACCAAACTACTGTACCCGGAAGTGGAGTTTAATATAATGCTTATTATGTTGATGACTGCCTCAAGAGACCTGTTAAAGTTGAGTACAGTACAGTAGTGTGTTGCCTGTACCATCACATATTATAAATACCTATATATTTATCTATCTATATACAATCTTCATTAAAGAAACACTGGCTCACTTTCTGCGCACTTTAAATACAGTATATCTTTGCCTATATTTTACTGTTATATTCAGACCCGATACCAAGGCTGCCCGTCAACCCAGTCTTGTTCATAGGAGCAGATAAACTATATCCTGTATGATATTTCAAATGGAATATGCGTATACTATTACCATTTGTACAGCGATAAAGATACACACATTACAGTACTGCCATCCACCCCTACATCATGAATACGGATGTGTAAAACTGAGCCTGCAAGATGCATCAATACAAAATCTAATTAAACTTCCTCATAAATTATAAAGCACATCGTACCAAACAACATGAAAAAATTGGTGGAACTCATTAAACGTTATGTGTAATTAAACACTAGATTTATTAAGAGTAGTCCTGGGTCAAACATTTAAATAGCTGAATTTTTATGCGCTGCAAAACTGTATCTGGTTATCTATTACAGATGCATTAATGAATGTAATTAAGATATGTGTAGACATGAAGAACACGTAGTTATAGTACCAATGTCAAAGCAAGTCAATACGTAAGTGCTGGGGGGGGGGGGGTTTTGGCCCTGATATTTGACTTAAAGAATAGTGTAATGGCCTTTTACGAGTACATAGATATACAGCAAACGCACTTTAAACCACACTAAATTACTTAATGTAGTCCCATCTTCATTATTACGTGTTAGCTACAGTCATCAAGTGATAAAAGTACACGAAATTTCCAGAGATTGCGGCAGCGCACAGCTTGCCGGACAGCGGCTGTTCACCACTGCTCTCTTCCTCCCCACTACACAGCTGCCACGTCTAAAATCAAACCCCAAATTATTTTATTTATACCTACAAATCACATATTTGCAGCAACAGAACTTAAAACATGAATAAAACTATACCAAATTTCCTCCACTATCACCAAATCCACAAGACGAACACGGGTTATGTTCTTAATAGTTTCATTTATTATACATTAACTCCTGCCAAATAAATACAACAAAATATATAAATTAAGGCTTTTAAAACAACCTAACCGATAAATGGCACAACTACAGCAAAGGTTCAATGAAGACGGCAAGATCCACACCAAATATTAACACTACCGTCATAATAAGCCAAGGTCAGCCAGATATGTCTCATGTACCTTTAGTCGCCGTCAATTTACTATAGATAGCTACGCCTTGTGTATCTGTCAGTGTTATTATACAGCTGTGCCGTCTGTCTTTGGTGCTATATAACTATATCGTCTGTCTAATGCTATATAGCTGTACCGTCTGATTAGTGTTATTATATAGCTGTGGCACTTTTGTCTATATTATGAACGATGAACTCAACAGGACTGGCCCCCCCACTCCTAATAGATTGACCGAATTACGTATTGTGGTGTCAATTCTACCGGTCATAACACGCTGATGAAAACCTCGATTGACAACGGAAATGGCCATCTACGAAATGAAGAAAGGGCGTAAATAAACATCATTAAATTGGGATGAAAATAACATACATGGAACCCTTTGATTTGGACAATTTTAACAGAAAAATTAATGGGTAATATTAACTGCTATAAATACGTCACTTTACCCTGAACTATACCGTATTATTTTAGTTTATCTCTTAAATGCTATTCGACGAGGAACTTTTATTTACTTTCTTCAAGGTCAAAATTATTTGTGGGATAAAGTGCGAAAGTATAAACCCGGGTAGCCAGCAACAACAATTACCAACTGTGACAAGCAACACACGTGCGACGTCTAAATCAATTGGACTTTATAAATATTACTACAGCCATGGCATGACAAAGTGTAGTGCTATAGTTTTATCACTTGGAAATCTATGCCATTACTTTAACATTCAACGGTCTGTTTGTCTGCCACACAGTAAGGGAAGCAAGCGGTGGAAGGTGGGCGGAAGTCGCTCTCCACCCTACCTACGACTATACCTGCATGCAACCTGCCTCCGCCTGTCAAACGCGCCCCATCGAATACTCGCCTACGCCCACCAACTAACCTCGGAAAAAATACACCGAAAGAAAATGCTCCTATTCAACTACCATTCCCGTGTTTTATTATTATTATTACAGTATTCGACTTTAAAGGAAGAAAGTTCAAACGAGTCTTGCATTTAGTTAATAAAATATACACTAAATATGAAATGACGGGTCGAACAGTTGCGAGTTATATGAGATAGAAGTTATATTGTTTACTAGTAGTATACTGACATAAGACTGTCTGGTAATAAGATATGTGAGATGTGGCAACAGAGGTACAGGCCACAGCCGCTGTTCCGCTCACACCCTCCCTCCTGCTGTTACCTTTGCCAACCAACCTCCCAACGAGGAAAGCGCGGGAAACTGGGACGCCCCTTCGCGCCAACTGATTGCTAGACGACCTCGCAAGGCTTACCAACCCTTCCTGCAATTCACTAAATCAAAAACGACCAAAGTCCATTCATTCATCCCCTGTTTACAACGGTGACTGCCGCCACACCGTAGAACACAAACTAATGAGGTTATTTCTTCAATCTCATATTTACAAAACATTATTTTATAATAAATGCACCTTTTCCGGATATAGACGCCAAGGTTGTTTGATACATAAAAAAAATCAAGTTTATTGCGATGGCGAAGGATTGTGAATGGCTGAAAACTTTAAGAAAAAAAAAACGGTGATTTTTCTCTCGTACTGTACGACACAATGTACCAAACATTTATTCTGATTAATAATGTTCAACACTTATCACCAACATGACCGATAATCCACAACACTGAAATAATAAATAACGATACAGAAATACTTATTCCATTTTCAACTCGCAAATACTCCCTCGTGCATAATATTATCCCGATGAAAATTTCCTACAGTAAACATTGACCTTGAAGAACAAAAACACTTTCTTTTTAGCGACAAAAATCCCCGCCCATGTCTTTTTACGTCACTATAAACGAATGACAAATATTAATTAAAAACAAAATATGAGGGTGGAGGGAATGAGGCGGGTCTTTAAATCAACAATAAAAGACCAAAATAATACCATACACTATACTGCACAGTGCGTACTAAGACCAGTTTGACTCGCAATATTGAGCTTACACAATACACTGACCTTCACACACACACACACACTAAACGGTAGACAACTGATCGGTTTAGTGATTTTATTTTCCGAGATGTGTGAGGTGTTGTCTTGCTGTCTGATCTCCATTCGTAAAATGATATGAGCTTTGCCTCCTCTGCCACTCTATTTTGTACTACCTACCCACCCACCGCCTCACACACCCCCACCCACACACTTAACATAATCTAAGTGTGGCCGCACATAAGCGATCTAGTTTTAAGATTACATCGCTTGTCCTGTTACTAAGATGCTATATTATTCAGACTGATGAACCAGAAGCAGTAGACTGACACATTATTCTAACCATAAATGCTTCGGAATTCTAAGTCTGAATATCGGGGGTTCGTAGTTCAGGGGGGGAGCGGACTTGAGTAGTTGATAGTACAGTACCTTAAATTGGTTTAAATTAGTTCATATGTAACATTTCCGCTTCATTTAAGACAACCAACTTCCAATCACCTGAAGATTAGACACCCCGGGTGTCTAGAGATTAGATAACCAAGCTTATTTCACCTCGAGATTGACTACCCTTCCGCTAATCTATCTACCCCATCCGGATACTGATGTGACCTCGCAGGTAGTCAAAGGTACAGTACTCTCTCTCACACCCGATGTTTAGTTTATTATGCATTGTGGTCCAAGATTTCTGCACCCGACTTATCATTACTCCATCTTTCTCACAACCGGATTTCTCTATATCTAATTTGTCACTAAACCCTTCGAGTCCTCAAGGGTTAGATTATCGTCGTCAAAAGGTTAAGCTGTTCCATTCCCTTGTCTCAGAACTTTGCATTTACCTATATTAAATCGCAACCCCAGTGTTTATGATTACCTCCAAGCAGGGGCGGATACAGGAACATCAAACGGGGGTCCAAGGTGTGGGTAAGGGTACATGGCGAGCACAGGGCCCACCAGCTGGGTTTTATTTATTTTATTTTTTTTTTTGGGGGTAGCTGTAGCCCCCATAATTCCCTTTTAATCTGACCAATAACATGGGCATTTTGAGGACATGTGCACTTGATATTAAGAGATATTCTGTGGTCAAATGTAATTACTTGTCACTACCCCAAAAACGCTTGAGTACAATACTGAATTAAAGAAAGTATTGGATTTTTTATAAAAAAATGGGGGGGGGGGGGCGGACCCCCAATGTTTATGTTGACTTCCAAGTCCTTTAAATCTATTCCGATGTTTATATGAACCCCAAGTCCTTTTCACTCTGAGAGAGAGAGAGAGAGAGAAGGGTTGGCAGGCGTGTGTGGCCTCGGAGGTGACAAAGGGCTGTTGTGTTCACCTCCCCACCATGGAGAAAAATAGATGCGGCTGTTCCACCTTCCCGCACCTCCTCCCCTCTGAAGCTCTTCCTCTGACTTCTCCTCCTCCCTCCCTAAGCCTCACAGCAGCTGTTCTTCTCGACTCCCAACCTCCCCTCACCATCCTAATATTTCCCATTAAAGACTCATATATATAAATAACAGCCACTACTATACACATAATATGCAAGTATATTTGTTATTTGTTCTATATATGAGTAATGCGAGGTATAAATAAGTGGATAAAGGTAGAAAATTGAGAATAACAGGAGGGAAGAGCCCGGATATACAACATAAACAGATGAACGTCAAAGACTAGACGCCATGTTAGATAGCCCGGGAGCAACCTATTAATATGTCTAATAATTCCCTTATAAACTATCGCACTATAATGTCATCGATGTTAATATCAAGAACATAAATTTCCTTATAACATAGGATAGTTGTTAGTCCATTAGAAACAGAGAGATTCAAATAAAATGTAAAGAAAGACCACTTCAGCCTCAGTCTACAGGGGGCGGCCATCTTGGAAACTTTCAAAACAAACAAGCTCAGATTCACAGTTATAGTCTTTCCTGGTCACTCGTCTCGTCCAGTACTCTAATACTACGACTCACAGTTCCTCTACAGACGTATTAATCCTCCAAGCACTAGTTCATGTGAGTAATACAAGTGTAAATGTGAGAAATAAGCCTAGATACACAGCTACAGTATAGGGCCACTTACCTGTGTTATATACGTGTAATTCATCGACTATTCCTTCGTTGCCTCCACCAAACACAACCATCAGGTCCTTAATGGCCACAGCACGATGGCCATGGCGAGGTCTGGGCTGTGGACCCGTCGTATTAGTGACCCGCTTCCACTTAAGAATGGGCGCAGCCATACTTCACTTGACGCATCTTCGAAATGTTTTCTGCTAGAGCAACACAGCGGTAGAGTGGCCACCATGACACTCGCCAAGCGCAATATTACCTTATTTTACCTCATATTATACCCTCCCACTGGCTAATACTCCAAAATAAAAGAGTTTTCATAAGTATAGTTAAATATAGGTACTATATATGCCTACACACTACCGTATATACATAGTAGTATACATAAAGACGCCAAGCGCAATATCACCTTATTTTATCGAATAATACGCACCTTACACTCCATTATACTCCCAAATAAAAGTGATTTAATAATTATAGTTAAATATAAGTACCATTTATACGTACACATTACCATATATATGTAATTATATAAACACTGGCGCAACCCTGCCTAATTTAAGTTAATATTTACTTTTTTTTTACTTTATCCTCTTCGCCACTGATCGGCTTTTATAATCCCAAATATATGTGACTTTACTTATATATTTAAATATATTTACTACTTATTCGTATAGCCTACCATATATACGTAAGTATATGTTTAAACACACACTTATCCCTAATACCTCCTATTACATTTATTAATCCTTCAGAATACGTGTTTTAGGGGAAAAATATAAGCGTGTGCAAGGTGTATACGCATTTATAACTGTATACACCCATACATAATAGACATATATCAACAATTTCATTTTCTTTTAAATCTCTGTGATAACGTATTGGAGTAGAGACGTCACCCTCGTTGCAGTCTACAGCAGCTGTTGTCACATGTTTCTGATCAGTGACCAAAGACCTTAGCTTGGTGTGGCCTCCCTCGACGTCTCGGTAATCTCAGCCACCATAAGTGTGAGTTGAGCTTTATTTTGTTATCTATGTAAGTAGAGTCTTTAAGTAGTTATGTCCCTCAAGTTATTAATATTAAAGTATAATATATATATATTGTGTATTTGTCGGGAAGATGCACTATGTATGAACTGTATACAATGTTTTATCTTCACTGATATCAAACTTAACGTACCCCTGAGCGCAGTTGTTGGGTTGGCTGGAGTGGAAAAGATTAAATACACCAACATGTTATTTATTTAACTTCACCTTGCACAGGATGTAAGAGGGTGCCCAATAAACTAGCTCCCTCGGAGACAATCTAAAAAAAACTAACATTTTATATTGAGATGAAAGTAAAAATAAGCTTTAAATAGCTATTTTGGGTAACTTTGGTGAAGTCATTTATTACTCTTTACCACTGTTGGTATACCACCAGCCTTGTCTATCTATTTAATATGTTTATATATGTGTCTACACTATCGCTGTCTTGCAACAAACGTGGGGAAGACATGGCCGTGAATTAATCTATAAGCACCTCGGAGGACATTATTCAGCCCGGGGCCTGCAGATGCCCGCCTCACTAGTTACTGCTTAAGAGTGAAGAAGCCACAGATTCAAAAAATTGTCAAAGCAAACTTTTTGAGAGCGAGAATTGTAAATTCTTGGAACAACCTGCCAGTGTTGAGACGGCACCGAGTGTGAGCTCTTTTAACACCAGTGTATATGCCCAGTACTTGCCAACAGTGCGCAATAGATTAACTGAGATGTGAGTTGTGACCGACCGCCCTACAGTAGTGGCGAACAGACCGATTAGTGGAGAGGATAAAGTAAATTAATCACGAAGCATCACACAACGACAAGTGTTTGTTTAATATTGTTTACATCTAAGGTGAGCATATAGAAGCCTTCAAAACTTCCTTAACTATAGAGAGGACTGTTGGACATGGGTAGGCTATTTCGACCAATGCCGGGATGTGCGATGTGGTCTTGGTCTTAACACCATAGAAAACGTATCTATAAAAATATCAGAAAACTTCACAGTTCCAGGAGTAACGCTAATAATAAGCCGATATTTATCTAAACTGGAGCCCATTAGAACTGTCTTTAAACCAGCCATTATAATAATATCGTTCCTCAGATTAGCGTGACACACCCACACCGTCATCAGCTCCTGTCAGCCGTCAGCCACACGCCTCACTGACACTCTAACCACGTCAGGAGTAGAAGGACCATGGTGAAGTGCAGGCGTTTGTGTGGCGCGGTGGGCGCAGTGGTGGGCGTACTTGGGGGCGTGATTGGCATACTTCTCCTTGTAGCAATCATCAGAGCTGCCACCCTTGAGGTATGGACTACAACAACAGCAGTGAAAGTGGTAGTGTGGTAGACTGGTGTGGTAGACTATGGTGTGGTAGAGTGGTGTGGTAGACTGGTGTGGTAGTGGTGTGGTAGACTACGGTGTGGTAGACTGGTGTGGTAGACTATGGTGTGCTAGTGTTGTGGTAGACTATGGTGTGCTAGTGTTGTGGTAGACTATGGTGTGGTAGACTGGTGTGGTAGACTATGGTGTGCTAGTGTTGTGGTAGACTATGGTGTGGTAGACTACGGTGTGGTAGACTGGTGTGGTAGACTATGGTGTGCTAGTGTTGTGGTAGACTATGGTGTGGTAGACTGGTGTGGTAGACTGGTGTGGTAGACTATGGTGTGGTAGACTGGTGTGGTCGACTGGTGTGGTAGACTGTGGTGTGATAGACTATGGTGTGGTAGACTGTGGTGTGGTCGACTATGGTGTGGTAGACTGTGGTGTGGTCGACTATGGTGTGGTAGACTGGTGTGGTCGACTGGTGTGGTGGACTGTGGTGTGATAGACTATGGTGTGGTAGACTATGGTGTGGTAGACTGGTGTGGTCGACTGGTGTGGTAGACTGTGGTGTGATAGACTATGGTGTGGTAGACTGTGGTGTGGTCGACTATGGTGTGGTAGACTGTGGTGGTAGACTGTGGTGTGTAGACTGTGGTGTGGTCGACTATGGTGTGGTAGACTGTGGTGTGGTCGACTGGTGTGTGGTAGACTGTGGTGTGTGGTAGACTGTGGTGTGGTAGACTGTGGTGTGGTCGACTATGGTGTGGTCGACTATGGTGTAATAAGTGGTGTGGTAGAGTAGTGTGGTAGACTGGTGTGGTAGACTATGCTGTGGTAAAGTGGTGTGGTAGAGTAGTGTGGTAGACTGGTGTGGTAGACTGTGGTGTGGTAGACTGTGTGTGGTACTGGTGTGGTAGATTATGGTGTGGTAGAGAGTGAGTGTGGTAGACTGGTGTGGTAGACTATGGTGTGGTAAAGTGGTGTGGTAGAGTAGTGTGGTAGACTGGTGTGGTAGACTATGGTGTGGTAGACTGGTGTGGTAGACTGGTGTGGTAGATTATGGTGTGGTAGAGTGGTGTGGTAGACTGGTGTGGTAGATTATGGTGTGGTAGACTATGGTGTGGTAGACTGTGGTGTTGTAGACTATGTTGTGGTAGACTGTGGTGTGGTAGACTGGTGCGGTAGACTATGGTGTGGTAGACTATGGTGTGGTAGACTATGGTGTGGTAGACTGGTGTGTGGTAGACTATGGTGTGGTAGACTATGGTGTGGTAGACTGGTGTGGTAGACTATGGTTTGGTAGACTGGTGCGGTAGACTATGGTGTGGTAGACTATGGTGTGGTAGACTGGTGCGGTAGACTGTGGTGTGGTAGACTATGTTGTGGTAGACTGTGGTGTGAAACTATGGTGTGGTAGACTATGGTGTGGTAGACTGGTGTGGTGAACTATGGTGTGGTAGACTGGTGTGAGACTATGGTGTGGTAGACTATGGTGTGGTAGACTATGGTGTGGTAGACTGGTGTGGTAGACTATGGTGTGGTAGACTGTGGTGGTAGACTGGTGTGGGACTATGGTGTGTAGACTGGTGTGGTCGACTATGGTGTGGTAGACTGAGTGTGGTAGACTATGGTGTGGTAGACTGGTGTGGTTAGACTATGGTGTGTGGTAGACTATGGTGTGGTAGACTATGGTGTGGTAGACTGGTGTGGTGGACTATGGTGTGGTAGACTGGTGTGTGGTAGACTATGGTGTGGTAGACTGTGGTGTGTACTATGGTGTGGTAGAATGGTGTGGTAGACTATGGTGTGGTGGACTGTGGTGTGGTAGACTGGTGGAGTGGACTATGGTGTGGTAGACTGTGGTGTGGTCGACTATGGTGTGGTAGAGTAGTGTGGTAGACGTGTTAAATTGTGGTAGACTGGTGGTGGTGACTATGTTGTGGTAGTAGTGTGGTAGACTGGTGTGGTAGATTGGTGTGGTAGACTATGGTGTGGTAGACTATGTTGTGGTAGACTGGTGTGGTGACTATGGTGTGGTAGACTGGTGTGTAGACTATGGTGTGGTAGACTGGTGTGGTAGACTATGGTGTGGTAGACTGGTGTGGTAGACTATGGTGTGGTAGACTATGGTGTGGTAGACTATGGTGTGGTGGACTGTGGTGTGGTAGACTGGTGTGGTGGATTATGGTGTGGTAGACTATGGTGTGGTAGACTGGTGTGGTAGACTATGGTGTGGTAGACTGGTGTGGTAGACATGGGTGTGGTAGACTATGGTGTGGTAGACTATGTGGTGGACTGTGGTGTGGTAGACTGGTGTGGTAGACTATGGTGTGGTAGACTATGGTGTGGTGGACTGTGGTGTGGTAGACTATGGTGTGGTAGACTATGGTGTGTGTGGACTAGTGTGGTAGACTATGGTGTGGTAGAACTTGGTGTGGTAGACTATGGTGTGGTAGACTGGTGTGGTAGACTATGGTGTGGTAGACTATGGTGTGGTAGACTGTGGTGTGGTGAACTGGTGTGGTAGACTGGTGTGGTAGACTATGGTGTGGTAGACTGGTGTGGTAGACTGGTGTGGTAGACTATGGTGTGGTAGACTATGGTGTGGTAGACTGTGGTGTGGTAGACTGGTGTGGTAGATCAACTCTTCCTTCCACCTTCCCTCACTTCTCTCTCACTCTCACCGTTGTTTCTTATCCATCGTCCCGTTCCCTCATTTCCCTTCCCTCTCTTCCAGCCCTCACCCTCTCCCTTCCCTCTCCCTTCTGCTCTTTTCCCTTCCTTATCGTCTCTCTCCCTCCCTCTCCCTTTCTGAGCTTTATCTTCGTTTTCCCTCTCCTTCCTCCTTCCCTAATCTTCTGCGCCCTCTCTCCCTTTCCCAATTTGTCCCCTCTCTCTCTCTCTCCAACCTTGTTCATTATTGCCTCTAAATCATCTGGGGCCTATTAGGACTGAGCCTATTGGGTCTGGGGCCCTTTAGTTCTGGGGCCCATTTGACCTTCGATTATATTTTGTTCAAATAATTTAATTAGTGTGTGTGAGTGTGTGTGTGTGTAAATATCTATCTGTCTAACTATCTATCTATCTATGTGTGTGGCCAGGAACCCGACTACCAAGATTGGGGAATGGCCACAGGAGTGAAGGAGGAGCTGCCGGAGTCCTACTTGGCCACACTACCACAGCTCATGACACAGCGCTCAGCATACCCACAGTGTCCACAGATGTTGGCATGTATGACACACACCAACTACTTCGCTTCCATGAGTTCCTTCGGGAGAGTAAGTATCTGTATGTATGTGTGTGTGTGTGTGTGTCGCACACAGGGTGGTGAAATGCGTCTAGTGTGGCAGCACTATGTTAGTGTTAAGGTGCAAGCACTACACTCCCTCTCGCTTTCAGCTGTCGCTGCTGGCTAGCCCTCGTGGCGAACAGGGACTTGCATATGTCTTCCCCTACCAGTACACAGCCTCTTCGCCATCAAGACTCCTGCTGTGCCTCCTCGTGACAACACACGGTAACTGGGTGCCTTATGGGCCTAGGCTAGACCAGCAGGAGATTTTGGAGTAGCAGTGGGCCCCAGAGGGACTGCGCATAAACCCACTAGCATGTGGACACGTTCTGGCGCCTACCAGCCATCGCCCTGCTCCCTTGCGGATTAACCTTGGTAGGTATAAGGCTACGGGAGTAAACCCCAAACGAAAAATCTGCAGTGGAGCCCCGCATCAGGCAGACATGCTAACAGAGATCCAACAACACCCAACGGCGGTATAGGCGGAAGTGGTGACCGCCGTGGAAACCCGACAACTACACCGGCGGATGAAGGCAATGCCTGATGGACAGGCTAAGGCGAAACCCAACAAACTGGGCTATCGGCAGTCCATTGCAACTCCCCCTCTCCCCAGTCGTTGCAACACTTGCACCACTGGATCAAGGAGAGCCAAGATGTGTGGTTGCAGCCTGCCCTGCCTCACCATATAAACTCAACTCACCTGCAGCCATCACCCAGTTCATCATACCTCTCATCATCATCATAAACCCTATACCCCCAAAGTCCTATGGCGACGGGGACAGGCAAGATGACCGCCGGGAGTCTCTAGTCACAACTCTACCACGGGCACAGATAAGATGGTCGTTTATGCACTGGGATTTAGGCAGCAGTGCAATCCGGTCCGTCTGTGCGACTGAGCAGCCTTTCGAGAACCACTCTATACCCCAGGAGGGGGCAGAAAAGGTGCCCTAAACATAGCCTGCCTAAAACCCAACTGACTGGGCAGCACCCAGTAAGGTCATCCTTATGGGTCAACACAGTCAAAATCACAGATCCAAACAAAAACAAACCATACAACTTCTTATGGTCGCTGCATAGAATGTCAGGACCCTTCTGGATACACTGGCACAAATGAGCGTCCTGAAAGAAGAACTGCCCTTGTGGCAAAAGAGCTGGCTAGGTATAACATCGACATAGCAGCCATCAGTGAGTCGCCAGATGAGGGCCAGCTCACAGAACGGGGGTCTGGCAATACCTTCTTCTGGGAGGGTAAGCCTGCTGTGGAGAGAAACCGCATTTATGGAGTTGGCTTTGCCATTCGCCAACGCATCCGACACAGGCTAACTGAAATGCCTATTGGGATCAACGAGTGCCTCGTGACGCTTCTAGTTCCACTGAATCACTCGCGTCATGCCTTTTTCATCGGTGCATATGCCCCAACACTGGATGCAGAGGATGGCATTAAGGAGGCCTTTTACACCGACCTTGACAGAGTGCTAACCTCTATCCCCAGAGAAGACAAGGTTGTGCTCCTTGGCGACTTCAATTCCAGAGTTGGCAGAGATGCTAGCATTTGGCAGGGAACCATAGGGAGAAATGGACGAGGCAAGTGTAATGCCAACGGCCTACTCCTTCTCAGCAAGTGTGCTGCTCACAACCTCACCATCGCCAATACTGTTTCGGCAGGCCGACAAGTTCAAGGGTTCGTGACAACACCCACGATCCAAACACTGGTATCTCATTGACTACATCATTGTCAGAGAAAGAGATGCCGAGATGTCCTCATACCCGTTACTCGTGGCTCAGACCACTGTGACACTGATCATCGACTTGTCAGAGCCAAGCTCTCACTTCACGTGCCCCAAAACGACGGTAAGCCTCAGAGGTTTTAATACTAAGCGTCTGGAGGACCCAGCAGTAGCACATGTCAGAGAGCAGCTCGAACCTGGGCTTATAAACAACCCAACAGCAAACAACGAATCCCAGTGCGAATGGGATACTCTCCAAGCTGTTATGACAAAACCAGCAGAGAGACCCTCGGCCAGATCAAAAGAATGCACCAGGACTGGTTGTGAAAATGACTTGGCAATCAAAGTACTCATCGATGATAAACGTGCTGCTTTTACTTACTGGCAGAACAACCCTCAGTCTCCGACCAAAGCTGATACCTTCCGTAAGAAGAAAGCGGCAGCCCAGCGGGAACCGTTCTATAGAATGACTGGCTTAAAAATAAAGCATGTGAAATACAAAAATCTGCAGACCAGCACAAGATGCTCAAATTTTCCAATTCCATTCAAACATTTTATGAGTCATTCATTGCTCGACCGAAACATAGATGAGGTAGTTACTGCCATCGAACAGATGAAAAATAACAAAGCCTCAGGGCCTGATGGAATCCCAGCCGTGGTGTATAAAGTAGGAAGACCTCTGCTTACCAGCCGTCTCCACTCTCTCCTGGACAATATATGGGAAAAGGAGGAAATCCCCTAAGCTCTTAAAGATGCTTCCATTGTTAATATATATAAGAACAAGGGAGATCGGTCAGACTGTGGCAACTACCGTGGAATCTCGCTGTTCTCCGTAGCTGGCAAGATTATCGCCCGAGTCCTCCTATACAGACTTCCTCCCAGAATCTCAATGTGGTTTTAGATCATCAGGTGGCACCACTGACATGATCTTTGCTGCCCGGCAGATACAGGAAAAGTGCAGAGAACAGCGTCGTGACCTGTACGTGGCTTTCATCGTCCTAACAAGGCCTTCGACCGTCAACAGGGAAGCCCTCTGGTGGACCCTCAGCCGTTTTGGCTGCCCACCAAAATTCATCGCCATTGTGAGGCAACTCCACGATGACATGAACGGCAGTGACCTGCACAACAGCACCCAGTCTGAGTTCCTACCCATCCAAACACGGGTTAAACAAGGGTGTGTACTGACACCAACTCTCTTTTCCATTTTCTTGGCTGCCTTCCTTACTCGTGCCAGTGCCAATTTAGCAGGCAGGGTGGACATCGAGTACCGGGTGAAGGGGTGTCTTTTCAACATAAGACGACTCCAAGCAAGAACAAAGGTGTCGGCATGCTTCCATTACTGAACTTCAGTTTGCAGACGACCTCACCCTTGTTGCTCACACTGAACACGACCTACAGGAGATCCTAAACACCTACACAGATGTGTATGCGCACTTCGGCCTTGAGGTGAATGTACGTAAGACTCAGATTCTCTTTCAACCTGCCCCAGGTTCAGACACATCTCCACCATCCAACGCAGCCTACGTTCCATCCTCCGAGTTCGCTGGGAAGACAAGAGAACAAATGCCAGTATTCTCGCTGACACCAACTGGAGGAGCATCGAGGCTACCATTACTCATGAACAGCTACGTTGGACTGGCCATGTTACCCGCATGGACGACAGTAGACTGCCAAAGCAGCTACTTTACAGTCACCTAACGAACAGGAAACTTAACGCTGGCGGGCAACTGAAAAGGTATAAGGTTAGTCTTAAGACAAACATGAAAAGGTACCAAATCAACTCCCTCATCTAGGAGACGATTACTCCACATCGTGTGTGTGTGTAATAATAATAATAATAATTAACGGTTTATTGAAAATGTTCTGCAGCCCGAAAGCTGAAAATAAACATTGAACAAAAATGACTTATTACATACAAAGACATGGGGGTAGGTGGGTCGTTTTACAAAAGCTTTCATTACTGAAAGAAGACGGAACATGAATTGAACATACAAATTATTATAGTTTGCAGTTGATGGCACGGGCCTGGGCTGGTCATTGACACACCAGGTGGTGTGGTATTCACGTGGTGTAGTACCTCGTTCTCGGGTGTTGATATGAAGGACCTCAAATGGTCATGGAGACACCGGGTGGTGTGGTGTTCACGTGGTGTAGTAACTCGTCCTCTGGTGTTGATATAAAGGACCTCACGTGGTCATGGGGACACCGGGTGGTGTGTGTGTGTGTAGGGGGGGGTGTGCACTGTACAGCGCCTCCTCACGTACTGTACAAACATTAAAAGTTCAAACACCATAATACAAAATTATTCAGCGTGACCTTTGGTGGTGGTGAGGCTACCACTACTACCACCACTACTACTACCACAACTACCACTACTACTACTACTACCACTACTACCACTACCACCACTACTATTACTACCACCCTCTACTAATGTGTTGCGTTGTGTTGCAGGTTTCATACACTACTACCACAACTACCACCACTACTACTAATGTGTTGCGTTGTGTTGCAGGTTTCCCACACTACTACCACCACTACTACTAATGTGTTGGTGTTGTGTTGCAGGTTTCCCACACGTGTTTAATTGCAGTTACATAGAGACTGAAGTTATCAACACATACAGCCTTCTCTTCACGGTAACTGTAAGTAATATTGCCTCCTCTGCCTTCTTCTTCTTCCTTCTTCCTTCTTCTTCTTCTTCTTCTTCTTCTTCTTCTTCTTCTTCTTCCTTCTTCTCCTTCTTCTTCTTCTTCTTCTTCTTCTTCTTCTTCCTTCTTCTTTCTTCTTCTTCCTTCTCCTTCTTCTTCTTCTTTCTTCTTCTTCTTCTTCTTCCTTCTCTTCTTCTTCTTCTTCTTCTTCCTTCTTCTTCCTTTTCTATATCTTCTTCTTCTTCTTTATATCTTCCGAATAAGCCGGGGAGGAGGGAGGAGGAAGGTGTCAATTGTAAAATAAGCTTTGAGAAGGAGGGAGGGAGGAAGGGGTGTCAATCTCCAGGTAAAATAAGCTTTGAGAAGGGAGGGAGGGAGGAAGGGGTCAATCTCCAGGTAAAATAAGCTTTGAGAAGGGAGGGAGGGAGGAAGGGGTGTCAATCTCCAGGTAAAATAAGCTTTGAGAAGGGAGGGAGGGAGGAAGGGTGTCAATCTCCAGGTAAAATAAGCTTTGAGAAGGAGGGAGGGAGGAAGGTGTCAATCTCCAGGTAAAATAAGCTTTGGGAAGGAGGGAGGGAGGAAGGGGTGTCAATCTCCAGGTAAAATAAGCTTTGGAAGGAGGGAGGGAGGAAGGGGTGTCAATCTGCAGGTAAAATAGCTTTGAGAAGGGAGGGAGGGAGGAAGGGTGTCAATCTCCAGGTAAAATAAGCTTTGGAGAAGGAGGGAGGGGGAGGAAGGTGTCAATCTGCAGGTAAAATAAGCTTTGAGAAGGGAGGGAGGGAGGAAGGGGTGTCAATCTCCAGGTAAAATAAGCTTTGAGAAGGGAGGGAGGGAGGAAGGGGTGTCAATCTCCAGGTAAAATAAGCTTTGAGAAGGAGGGAGGGAGGAAGGGGTGTCAATCTGCAGGTAAAATAAGCTTTGAGAAGGAGGAGGGAGGAAGGGGTGTCAATCTCCAGGTAAAATAAGCTTTGAGAAGGGAGGGAGGGAGGAAGGTGTAATGAGACAAGTCTCACAAGAAGAAGATTACATATAGGTAGAATATTGATAGTATAAGAGAGAAAGACTTTGGTAGCGTGGCCGTGATAGTTATTTACACTTATCTTATCTTATATGTCAATACACATCTATTACGTCTTAAGGGCGACTTCTCAAACACCGCTTCGTTACAACTCTTTATTAATTACGAACATGACATGGACACATTAATAACACCTTCTATTGAAGTTACTAGGACATTATGTTTACGTTACTAGGTCATCATATTACGTTACTAGACACTCTGATTCTCGGACACGAACATGAAATGAATACACCAACGAAGTAACTCATCCCACGGAAAGCTCTGACAAAAAACTCACGTGACCTAGGGGAGGCCTAGCAGGTGGTCCTGTCTCTATGGGGACTGCTTAGCTGGGCGCCGGAGGGAAGTTCGTCCTGACCGAGGCGACTGCCCGGTCCTCTGACTCCTCGACGGGCCTGGTGGTAGTAGCTGGCCCTTCCTCCTTACAAGACACACTCTCTCTGCTTCTGGTGGGAGGGAGGACTAGGACGTCCTATATATTGGGAGGCGAGGTCAGGGTTGAGCTGATCGGGGCGGCGAAGGCCCTTACATTTGCCCTCGCTAATGTAGGGTCAGGTCTGGACTTTTTCAGAGAGACTACAAGTTGTATATTCTGGATTTATAACCCTTGGTCAGCCAAGAAGAGTTACCCTACACTTGACCCCCTAATGTCGGGTCAAGTCTGGACTGTTTCTGAGATGTAAGCTGTGGTCTGACAACCCATCACTACAAAGGGGTGTCAATCTTCAGGTAAAATAAGCTTTGAGAAGGAGGGAGAGAGGTGTCAATCTCCAGGTAAAATAAGCTTTGAGAAGGGAGGGAGGAGGAAGGGTGTCAATCTCCAGGTAAAATAAGCTTGAGAAGGGAGGGAGGGAGGAAGGTGTCAATCTTCAGGTAAAATAAGCTTTGAGAAGGGAGGGAGGGAGGAAGGGTGTCAATCTCCAGGTAAAATAAGCTTTGAGAAGGAGGGAGGGAGGAAGGGGTGCCAATCTCCAGGTAAAATAAGCTTTGAGAAGGGAGGGAGGGAGGAAGGAAGGGGTGTCAATCTCCAGGTAAAATAAGCTTTGAGAATGGAGGGAGGGAGGAAGGTGTCAATCTTCAGGTAAAATAAGCTTGAGAAGGGAGGAGGGGTGTCAACTCCAGGTAAAATAAGCTTTGAGAAGGAGGGAGGAGGAAGGGGTGTTAATCTCCAGGTAAAATAAGCTTTGAGAAGGGAGGGAGGAGGAAAGGGTGTCAATCTTCAGGTAAAATAAGCTTTGAGAAGGGAGGGAGGAAAGGGTGTCAATCTTCAGGTAAAATAAGCTTTGAGAAGGGAGGAGGGAGGAAGGGTGTCAATCTCCAGGTAAAATAAGCTTTGAGAAGGGAGGGAGGGAGGAAGGTGTTAATCTCCAGGTAAAATAAGCTTTGGGAGGGAGGAAGGGGTGTCAATCTCCAGGTAAAATAAGCTTTGAGAAGGGAGGGAGGGAGGAAGGGGTGTCAATCTCCAGGTAAAATAAGCTTTGAGAAGGGAGGGAGGGAGGAAGGGGTGTCAATCTCCAGGTAAAATAAGCTTTGAGAAGGGAGGGAGGAAGGAAGGGGTGTCAATCTCCAGGTAAAATAAGCTTTGAGAAGGGAGGGAGGGAGGAAGGAAGGGGTGTCAATCTCCAGGTAAAATGCTTTGAGAAGGGAGGGAGGGAGGAAGGTGTCAATCTTCAGGTAAAATAAGCTTTGAAAAGGGAGGGAGGGAGGAAGGTTAATTCAGGTAAATAAGCTTGGGGAGGGAGGAAGGGGTGTCAATCTCCAGGTAAAATAAGCTTTGAGAAGGGAGGGAGGAGGAAAGGGTGTCAATCTCCAGGTAAAATAAGCTTGAGAAGGAGGGAGGGAGGAAGGGGTGTCAATCTCCAGGTAAAATAAGCTTTGAGAAGGGAGGAGGGAGGAAGGTGTCAATCTCCAGGTAAAATAAGCTTTGAGAAGGAGGGAGGGAGGTGTCAATCAGGTAAAATAAGCTTTGAGAAGGGAGGGAGGAGGAAGGGTGTCAATCTTCAGGAAAATAAGCTTGAGAAGGAGGGGAGGGAGGAAGGAAGGGTGTCAATCTCCAGGTAAAATAAGCTTGAGAAGGAGGAGGGGGAGGAAGGAAGGTGTCAATCTCCAGGTAAAATAAGCTTGAGAAGGGAGGAGGGAGGAAGGAAGGGGTGTCAATCTCCAGGTAAAATAAGCTTGAGAAGGGAGGAGGGAGGAAGGAAGGTGTCAATCTCAGGTAAAATAAGCTTTGAGAAGGGAGGAGGGAGGAAGGAAGGTGTCAATCTCCAGGTAAAATAAGTGAGAAGGAGGGAGGGAGGAAGGAAGGTGTCAATTCAGGTAAAATAAGGAGAAGGGGAGGGAGGAGGAAGGGGTGTCAATCTCCAGGTAAAATAAGCTTGAGAAGGGAGGGAGGGAGGAAGGAAGGTGTCAATCTCCAGGTAAAATAAGCTTTGAGAAGGGAGGGAGGGAGGAAGGTGTCAATCTCCAGGTAAAATAAGCTGAGAAGGGAGGAGGAGGAAGGGGTGTCAATCTCCAGGTAAAATAAGCTTTGAGGAGGGGGAGGAGGGTGTTAATCTTCAGGTAATCCTAAATCCCTCAAATAAATTAACTCACCTGTGTTTATACTTAGGGAAGTACACCTGAGCTGCAGCCTTACCTGTTGATGGGTCATATGGACGTGGTACCTGCTGACCCCACCCAGTGGACCCATGACCCCTGGGCTGGTCTTATTTTACCCGACACTGTAACTGGGGAAGACTACATCTGGGGTAGAGGAGCTATTGATAATAAAATTGGAGTTATGGTGAGTATGGTGTGGTGGTGTGGTAGTGTGTGTTGTGGTGTGTGTGTGTGTGTGTGTGTGTGTGGTGGTGTGTGGTGTAGGTGGTAGTGTATGGTACTGTATGGTACTGTATGGCAGTGTATGGTAGTGTATGGCAGGGTATGGTAGTATGGTGGTGTCTGATAGTATGGTAGTATGGCAGTGTATGGTAGTGTATGGCAGGGTATGGTAGTGTATGATAATGTATGGCAGGGTATGGCAGTGTATGGTAGTGTATGGTAGGGTATGGCAGGGTGGCATGGTAATGTATGGTAGGGTATGGCATGGTGGTATGGCAGGGTATGGGCAGTGTATGGGTGTATGGTGGCAGGGTATGGCAGGGTATGGTGTATGGGTATGGTGTATGGCAGGGTAGTGGTAGTGTATGGCAGGTATGGGTGTGGGTATGGTGGCAGGGTATGGTAGTGTATGGGTATGGGTAATGTATGGTAATGTATGGCAGTGTATGGCAGTGTATGGTAATGTATGGCAGGGTATGGTAGTGTATGGCAGGGTATGGTAGTGTATGGCAGGGTATGGTAGTATGGTAGTGTATGGCAGGGTATGGTAGTATGGTAATGTATGCAGGGTATGGTAGTGTATGGTAATGTATGGCAGTGTATGGCAGTGTATGGTAATGTATGGGTGTATGTGTATAGGGTATGGTGTATGGCAGGGTATGGTAGTATGGGGTATGGTATGGCAGGGCATGGGCAGTGTATGGTAGGGTATGGTAGTGTATGGTAAATGTATGGTGCGGCAGTGTATGGTAATGTATGGCAGGGTATGGCAGTAGTATGGTAGTGTATGGCAGGGTATGGTAGTGTATGGCAGGGCAGTATGGTAATGTATGGCAGTGTATGCATGGTGGTATGGTAGGGTATGGTAGTGTATGGTAATGTATGGCAGGTATGGCAGTGTATGGCAAGGTATGGTAGTGTATGATAGTATGGTAGTATGGCAGTGTATGGTAATGTATGGCAGTGTATGTATGGCAGGGTATGGTAGTATGGTGGTGTATGATAGTATGGTAGTATGGCAGTGTATGGTAGTGTATGGCAGGGTATGGTAATGTATGGCAGGGTATGGCAGTGTATGGTAATGTATGGCAGGGTATGGCAGGGTATGGTAGTATGGTAGTGTATGGCAGGGTATGGTAGTATGGTAGTGTATGGCAGGGTATGGTAGTATGGTAGTGTATGGCAGGGTATGGTAGTATGGTAGTGTATGGCAGGGTATGGTAGTATGGTAGTGTATGGCAGGGTATGGTAGTATGGTGGCCAGAACTAACACCACCACCATTACAGGGCATCATCATGGCGCTCAACTACCTGGCCAAGACGGACTTCCAGCCAACCCGTTCCTTCTACGTTGCCTTTGGTCATGATGAAGAGGTGAGTCCTTCCTTCCTTCTCTCCTTCCTTCCTTCCTTCTCTCCATCCTTCCTTCCTTTTTTCCATCCATCCTTCCTTCCTTCCTTCCTTCCCTTTCTCCATTCTTCAATCCTTCTCTCCATCCTTTCTTCCTTCCTTCTTTCCCTCCACCTCTTCTTTTTAATATGTTCAGGTGTGTGTGTGTGCTGACGGTGTGGTTGTGTTACAGGTCCGAGGTGCTGACGGTGTGGTTGTGTTACAGGTCCGAGGTGCTGACAGTGGTTGTGTTACAGGTCCGAGGGGCTGACGGTGCAGGTCACATCTCCCAGGTACTACAGGAGAGGGGCGTCACCTTAGACTTCCTGCTTGACGAAGGAACACCTGTGATATCTGGTCTTATGCCTGGGTTTACTGTTCCTACTGCATTGTGAGTTACTACTACTACTACTACTACTACTACTACTACTACTACTACTACTACTTTGTGGCATCCATCCTCCCCTTATAGCCACACCTTAGCCACCATTTTATTACCTTAATATTAAATACACCAATACAAAAGTACCTACGTTAATTATACTACTACTACTACTACTACTACTACTACTACTACTACTACTACTACTACTACTACAGAATCAGCGTGACAGAGAAGGGCTACATGACCTTACAATTACAAGTAGAGGGTGAAGGAGGTCACTCATCTATGCCACCACAAGATCCGGCTGTCTCTCGTCTAGTTGCAGCCCTCAATAACTTAGCCCTTAACCCTCAGCCCTCACTGTTTGGAAAGGGCCCTGAGGGTGACACTTTCACCTACTTAGCCACAAAGGTCAGTACATAACACACCTGTAACCTAACCTAACCTGTTACCTGAAGACCTAATGTTGTGGTCATATGTGATGAGAAAGAGATGGAAAGAAAGAATGACACAGAAAGAAGAAGAAAGGGAAAGAAATAAGATAAATAATATAATAATCAATGATACTATTACAGGCATCATGGCCCTACAAACTTTTCTACTCAAATCTATGGCTGTTTACACCTCTGTTGGAAATGGTCATGTCGAGGTCACGTGAGTCAAACGCCCTGCTGCGGACTACCACCTCCATCACTATCGTCCGTGCTGGCGTCAAGGTAAAGTACTGGTCCGTTGTAGTGATGTTCGTAGTAGTGATGTCCGTTGTAATGATGTTCGTAGTGGTGATGTCCGTGCCACCAATATGACTCAGACAAGGGGCCATTAGGACAGGGGGACCATCAGGATTAGATTAGATTAAGTTAGATTAGATTAGGTTAAGTTAGGTTAATCTATAGGTCAATTAAGCTGGGGTGGAGATTCTTGAGGTGAACACAATAAGTCATAACAAAATAACAAATGAACAGACTGACCTCCCAAACATCTATTAAACTGGTGACTGGTGAAATATATCAGATTAAACTGTGTGGTGACTGGTGAAATATATCAGATTAAACTGTATGGTGACTGGTGAAATATATCAGATTAAACTGTATGGTGACTGGTGAAATATATCAGATTAAACTGTATGGTGACTGGTGAAATATATCAGATTAAACTGTGGTGACTGTTGACTGGTGAAATGATCAAATTAAACTGTGTGGTGACTGGTGAAATATATCAGATTAAACTGTGTGGTGACTGGTGAAATATATCAGATTAAACTGTGTGGTGACTGGTGAAATAGATCAAATTAAACTGTGGTGACTGGTGAAATATATCAGATTAAACTGTGTGGTGACTGGTGAAATAGATCAGATTAAACTGTGTGTTGACTGGTGAAATATATCAGATTAAACTGTGTGGTGACTGGTGAAATATATCAGATTAAACTGTGGTGACTGTTGACTGGTGAAATGATCAAATTAAACTGTGTGGTGACTGGTGAAATATATAAACTTAAACTGTGGTGACTGGTGAAATATATCAGATTAAACTGTGTGGTGACTGGTGAAATAGATCAAATTAAACTGTGTGTGACTGGTGAAATATATCAGATTAAACTGTGTGTTGACTGGTGAAATATATCAGAACTGTGCGGTGATAAATATCAGATTAAACTGTGGTGACTGTTGACTGGTGAAATGATCAAATTAAACTGTGGTGTGACTGGTGAAATAGATCAGATTAAACTGTGTGGTGACTGGCGAAATAGATCAAATTAAACTGTGTGGTGACTGGTGAAATATATCAGATTAAACTGTGTGGTGACTGGTGAAATATATAAAATTAAACTGTGTGGTGACTGGTGAAATATATCAGATTAAACTGTGTGGTGACTGGTGAAATAGATCAAATTAAACTGTGTGGTGACTGGTGAAATAGATCAAATTAAACTGTGTGGTGACTGGTGAAATATATCAGATTAAACTGTGTGGTGACTGGTGAAATATATCAGATTAAACTGTGTGGTGACTGGTGAAATAGATAAAATTAAACTGTGTGGTGACTGGTGAAATATATCAGATTAAACTGTGTGGTGACTGGTGAAATATATCAGATTAAACTGTGTGGTGACTGGTGAAATAGATCAAATTAAACTGTGGTGACTGGTGAAATATATCAGATTAAACTGTGTGGTGACTGGCGAAATAGATTAAACTGTGTGGTGACTGGTGAAATATATCAGATTAAACTGTGATGACTGGTGAAATATATCAGATTAAACTGTGTGGTGACTGGTGAAATATATCAGATTAAACTGTGTGGTGACTGGTGAAATATATAAAATTAAACTGTGGTGACTGGTGAAATATATCAGATTAAACTGTGTGGTGACTGGCGAAATAGATCAGATTAAACTGTGTGGTGACTGGTGAAATATATCAGATTAAACTGTGTGGTGACTGGTGAAATATATAAAATTAAACTGAGGTGACTGGTGAAATATATCAGATTAAACTGTGTGGTGACTGGTGAAATATATAAAATTAAACTGTGGTGACTGGTGAAATATATCAGATTAAACTGTGTGGTGACTGGTGAAATATATCAGATTAAACTGTGTGGTGACTGGTGAAATAGATCAAATTAAACTGTGTGGTGACTGGTGAAATATATCAGATTAAACTGTGTGGTGACTGGTGAAATATATAAAATTAAACTGTGGTGACTGGTGAAATATATCAGATTAAACTGTGTGGTGACTGGTGAAATAGATCAAATTAAACTGTTGACTGGTTGACAGGAGAACGTAGTGCCCTCCTCGGCCAGCGCCATCATCAACCATCGCGTCCATCCTGCCCAGTCTGTCGAAGACGTCATCCAGCACGACCTTGCGGCCATCAATGACCCCACAGTGAAGGTCAGTAGTTCCTTTTGTGACCCTTGACCCCACAGTGAAGGTCAGTTGTTCCCTCTGTGACCCTTGACCCCACAGTGAAGGTCAGTTGTTCCCTCTGTGACCCTTGACCCTAGAGCAGTTCCCTGTGACCTCTCAGTGAAGGTCAATAGTTCCCTCTGTGACCTTTGACCCCACAGTGAAGGTCAGTAGTTCCCTCTGTGACCCTTGACCCCACAGTGAAGGTCAGTTGTTCCCTCTGTGACCCTTGACCCCACAGTTTCCCTTTTTCCTGTGTGATTTAAGTTATCAATATGCATGCCGGTAATTGTGCAAACTAACTGATTTCGCCAAAAAAAAAAAAAACGTAACATATATTATGGCACCGTGTTGAGTATTACTATGGTTTACAGCTGACAGTGAAGCAACAGATGGCCGCTTACCCAGTCTCCCCCTACGGCCCGGATGTACCAGGGTGGCGCCTCCTCACCTCCGCTATACACCATCACTTCCCGGGCGCTGTTGTTGCTCCAGGTATGTCGCCAGGGTCCCAAGGCGCATGTCCAGGGCCCCAGGTAATAAATCTCCATGGCTCTGGGTACGTTTCCAGGGCCCCAAGGTGCATGTCCAGCGCCCCAGGTAATAAATCTTCATGGCCCCGGGTACGTTTCCAGGGCCCCAGGTACGTCTCTAGGGCCCCAAGGTGCATGTCCAGAGCCCTAGGTACGTCTCCAGAGCTCCCAAGATACATGTCCAGGGCTCCAAGTATGTTTCCAGGACCCAGGGGCTCACTTGGGTCCAGTCCTAGTGGGCCCCGACCTAATCTTATCATTAAACACTTGGTATCGGGGCCTATTAGGTCAGTATTATAATTGGTTGGGGCCAATTAGGACTGTATTGTGTCATTAATGATTAGATTAGGTACTCAAGGGGTTAGCTTATGCTTGTGAAGTTAAGTTATCGTACTCAAGGGGTTAGGTGAACGTATTCTAGTGAAGGTAGAGTCTCGGTGTATTTCTGATGCCACACTGTATGTTACTTAGGACTTTAAAACAAGCTGTTTGGTATTCTCTCTCTCTCTCTCTCATACATGCGAACCTTTAAGTATAATGACCCAGGTTGTGAAGATGGTGACTGAAAGAGGCAAGTTGTTCCCCCTCTACAGCGGTGATGATGGCCAACACTGACTCCCTCCATTACCTTAACTTGACCTCCTGCATCTACCGCCACTACCCGATCCACCTCACCAAGAAGGACATACCTGGCATCCACGGCAGTGATGAACGTCTCTCGGTGACCAATCTGCGTCAGGCTACCCGTATATACCACAGGGTGATGGTATGGGCGGGGGATGCTGCTGGTCCTCCTCAACATCACCAGGAGTAGGGCGTCTGTGTGGTCCTCGCCCTCTGTGTGTGTGTGTGGGTGGGGGGGTCCTCCCGCTGGTGACTAACTCGCATGAATCTCTTCTATTCTAGGACCTTCTACTGCCTGAGTACCTATCTACCTACCTACCAATACCTAACCATCTACCTATCTTATGCCTACTTACCTATGCCTACCTATGACTAATGACTAATATTATTTTCATTTCTTCTACAGTTTATTAAAACAGCCTGCCATTTTGCCTCGATTTCTTGTTATATTGTAGTTTATGGAATGACCTTGTGTTTTATTATTGATTTGTGAATGTGTGTGTGTGTGTGTACCCAAAACACACATACACACCCTATTGTTAAGGCCCTATACCCTTTATAATAGCATGTACAGTAATCTCTATGACCTAAAACAAACACATACATTTGCATGCTGTATATATGTGTGTACCTGACGTAGTGTTCTTCTGACGCAGCGGTTCTCATGGCCAACACGGATACCAAGTATTACCTTAACATGACGAACAACGTGTATAGATTCATCCCCACCATCACTGGAAAAAGGGATCTGGCAACTATACACGGACATAATGAACGAATTAGTGTGGCTGCTGTAGGTGTGGCCGCTGAATTCTACTACCACCTCATCTTGGCCGCTAATAGGGAGGTCAAACCACGCCACACCTCACCAGGTCACCGTGCTGGGGAATTGTGATCCGTTGACCTGACCTCACTTAGCCACCAAGCTGCTGCCGTCTCTCGTATGGCAGGTGAGTTCTACCACACTACACTACCACACCATACCACATCATCTATACCATACTACACTATATCATGACACACCACACTTGGTAAAATAGTAATAATTAGTGTTATTATTATTATTATTAGTATTAGTATTAGTATTATCATCATTATTATTATTATTATTACTGTTGATGTTGTTGTTTTTATTATTATTGTTATTGTTTCTAGAGTAAAAGCCGGAGACTTCCATCTAACCACCCGGCCGCCCACACTACCACCCGGCCGCCCACACTACCACCCGGCCGCCCGTACACCCAGCTGGCCACCCACCCTCCAACCCCAAAAGCCAACATATCTTATCACCGCCTACACTCAACCCCGGAAGCACGCCCACACTCAACGCCGGACGCACGCCCACACTCAACGCCGGAAGCACGCCCACACTCAACGCCGGATGCACGCCCACACTCAACGCCGGAAGCACGCCCACACTCAACGCCGGATGCACGCCCACACTCAACGCCGGACGCACCTTTAACGCCTGGGTCGACGGAGTTATATTTTAATGGCGTATCGAATATTTTATTAGGTTGAATATATAAAAGATGGTCTGTTATTTTATGTTGGTTTAGCACTTTATTATGTCTTATTTTGGTTATTATTATTATTGTTGTTATTATTATTATTAGTATAATTATTATATATCTCTTTGCTTGTATTACACCACCGCCCACATCACCGCCCACACTGCCCACACCCCCACATCATCGCCCACATTTAACCTAACCTAACCTTAAACATTAGTAAGAGAAATGGGGGAATATTGTCCTACTTAGCTCTTTAACTGAGATTTGTCCAGTGGGGTTTTGTCCGAGGGAGTATTTGTCTGAGGGTATTTTGTCCTACACTCATCCCTGGGGGGGGGATGATGAGGTTGATCCATTCACTGTGTGTGTGTGTGTGTGTGTGTGTGTGTGTGTTAATACAATATTATCCCATATGTATAATTCTTGTTGAATAAATTAATTTGGTGTTATTCCACGTCTTTCAATCACCTTAATGCTACGTTGGTATGACCTAACCTAACCTAACCTAACCTAAACAGGACAGTGTGGCGAGTGACTGTGGGCGGCCCGGAACAGTATGGCGGAGAGGAGGCGGCTGTGGGTGGCGTCGGACAGTGTGGCGGGGATAAGGGCGGCTGTGGGCGGCGTAGGAGTGTGGCGGAGGAGGGCGGCGTAGGACAGTGTGGCGGGGAGGAGGGCGGCTGTGGGCGGCACGGGACAGTGTGGCGGAGAGGAGGGCGGCGCGATACAGTGTGGCTGACAGCTGTGGGCGGCGCAGGACGGTGTGGCTGGCAGCTGTGGGCGGCGCGGGACAATGTGGCTGGCAGCTGTGGGCGGCGCAGGACGGTGTGGCTGGCGGCTGTGGGCGGCGCAGGACGGTGTGGATGGCGGCTGTGCGCGGGACGGTGTGGCTGGCGGCTGTGGGCGGCGCAGGACAGTGTGGCTGGCAGCTGTGGGCGGCGCGGGACAGTGTGGCTGGCAGCTGTGGGCGGCGCAGGACAGTGTGGCTGACAGCTGTGGGAGGCGCGGGACACGGCTGTGGGAGGCGGGACATATGGCTGGCAGCTGTGGGCGGCGCGGGACGGTGTGGCTGACAGCTGTGGGAGGCGCGGGACAGTGTGGCTGGCAGCTGTGGGCGGCGCGGGACAGTGTGGCTGGCAGCTGTGGGCGGCGCGGGACAGTATGGTTGGCAGCTGTGGGCGGCGCGGGACAGTATGGTTGGCAGCTGTGGGCGGCGCAGGACAGTGTGGTGGGGAGAAGGGCGGCTGTGGGCGGTGTAGTGAAGGGCCACAGGTCGATATTAGGTGGCGTACCTGTGAGCGACCTGCCCTGCCCTGCCCACCTACCACCACACCACACCACACCGCACCATACGCACCACACACCCTACACCACACCATCTCTCTCTCTCTCTCTCTCTCTCTCTCTCTCTCTCTCTCTCATAACTCCCCGTCTCTCATCTTTAACGATAGTTCTTCCACCTCTCTCTTCCTTCTCTCGTTCATTATCTCTCTCTATTTCTTCTTTATTATCTCTATTACCCTATCGCTTGATCTTCTCTTCATTATTTCCATCTCTCTCTCGTTCTCTATCTCTATCTCTCGTTCATTGTATCGTTATCTCTATCACTCTCTACTTCTCGTTAATTATCTCTATCGCTCGTTCATTATCTCTCTCTATTTCTTGTTCATTATCTCTATCTCTCTTTCATTATCTCTATCTCTCTTTCATTATCTCTATCGCTCGTTCATTATCTCTCTACCTCTCGTTCATTATCTCTCTATCTCTCGATCATTATCTCTATTTCTTGTTCATTATCTCTATCTCTCTTTCATTATCTCTATCGCTCGTTCATTATCTCTCTATCTCTCGTTCATTATCTCTATCTCTCTTTCATTATCTCTCTATCTCTCGTTCATTATCTCTATTTCTTGTTCATTATCTCTATCTCTCTTTCATTATCTCTATCTCTCGTTCATTATCTCTCTATCTCTCGTTCATTATCTCTATCTCTCGTTCATTATCTCTATCTCTCTTTCATTATCTCTCTATCTCTCGTTCATTATCTCTATCTCTCGTTCATTATCTCTATCTCTCTTTCATTATCTCTATCTTTCGTTCATTATCTCTATCTCTCTTTCATTATCTCTCTATCTCTCGTTCATTATCTCTATCTCTCGTTCATTATCTCTATCTCTCTTTCATTATCTCTATCTTTCGTTCATTATCTCTATCTTTCGTTCATTATCTCTCTATCTCTCGTTCATTATCTCTATTTCTTGTTCATTATCTCTATCTCTCGTTCATTATCTCTATCTCTCGTTCATTATCTCTATCTTTCGTTCATTATCTCTATCTCTCGTTCATTATCTCTATCTTTCGTTCATTATCTCTCTATCGCTCGTTCATTATCTCTATGTTTCGTTCATTATCTCTCTATCTCGTTCATTATCTCTATCTCTCGTTCATTATCTCTATCTCTCGTTCATTATCTCTATCTTTCGTTCATTATCTCTATCTCTCGTTCATTATCTCTCTCTATCTCTCGTTCATTATCTCTATCTCTCGTTCATTATCTCTATCTCTCGTTCATTATCTCTCTATCTCTCGTTCATTATCTCTCTATCTCGTTCATTATCTCTCTCTATCTCTTTATCTCCATCAACAACTCCTCGTGTGGCGCCGTTCACCTACATTCAGTAATTCACGTTCAGTTCTCTTTCAAGTGGAGCATTTCAACCACCTCCTGCCGCCTCTCTCTCTCTCAGTCTGCTGTGTCAGGCTTCACTAGGGGCTTCAGTCTGCTGTGAGGGGATTCTGTCTGCTGTGAAGGGATTCTGTCTGCTGTGGGAGGGATTTTGTCTGCTGTGGGGGGCTTCTGTCTGCTGTGAAGGGGATTCTGTCTGCTGTGAAGGATTCTGTCTGCTGTGAGGGATTCTGTCTGCTGTGGGGCTTCTGTCTGCTGTGAGGGGGGATTCTGTCTGCTGTAGGGGCTTCATCCTGCTGTGGGGGGCTTCAGTCTGCTGTGGGGGATTCTGTCTGCTGTAGGGGGCTTCATCTTGCTGTGGGGGGGGGCTTAGCCTCGGTCCTGTGATTGGTCAACCTCTCATCACACTTGCCTGTGATTGGTCATTTCGTGAGTCTGTCCTATGATTGGTCAACGTTTCATCACGCTGGCTTGTGATTAGTCAACATATTCTAGTCTATGATTGGTCAAAGTCTCATCACTCTGGTCTAAGATTGGTCATTTACCTATCACAAGTCCTGCTACTCTGACCAATAAAAACACTCCATCACCCTCTTCACACCTAAACCAATCACCGCTCAGTAATGATGACGTCACTGACACCCCCCCCCTAACCATCCTTTGAGTTAAATGAAAACTTAACAAAAAACAAACAAACAAACAAATACAGACAGACAGACAGACAGACAGACACCCCCTTCTTAATTACAAACATCTCAAGATACAATAAGAGATAATACACAACACCTGAAGACAAAATTTACCTCACTGAATTACAACCTTGATGGCTCTACTGTCCAGGTGTTGTGAGAGATGGTTGTTGTTGTTGTGAGGGGATTGTTGTTGTTGTTGTTGTGAGGGATGGTTGTTGTTGTTGTGAGGGATGGTTGTTGTTGTTGTTGTGAGGGATGGTTGTTGTTGTTGTGAGGGATGGTTGTTGTTGTGAGGGATGGTTGTTGTTGTGAGATGGTTGTTGTTGTTGTGAGGGATGGTTGTTGTTGTGAGGGATGGTTGTTGTTGTTGTTGTGAGGGATGGTTGTTGTTGTGAGGATGGTTGTTGTTGTGAGGGATGGTTGTTTGTTGTGAGGGATGGTTGTTGTTGTTGTTGTTGTGAGGGATGGTTGTTGTTGTTGTTGTTGTGAGGGATGTTTGTTGTTTGTGAGAGATGGTTGTTGTTGTTGTTGTGAGGATGGTTGTTGTTGTTGTTGTGAGGATGGTTGTTTGTTTGAGAGATGGTTGTTGTTGTTGAGGATGGTTGTTGTTGTTGTGAGGGATGGTTGTTGTTGTGAGGGGATGGTTGTTGTTGTGAGGGATGGTTGTTGTTGTGAGATGGTTGTTGTTGTTGTTGTTGTGAGGATGGTTGTTGTTGTTGTTGTGAGGGATGGTTGTTGTTGTGAGGGGTTGTTGTTTGTGAGAGATGGTTGTTGTTGTTGTTGTTGTGAGAGATGGTTGTTGTTGTTGTTGTTTGTGAGGGATGGTTGTTGTTGTGAGGGTGTTGTTGTGAGGATGGTTGTTGTGAGGGTTGTTGTTGTGAGGGATGGTTGTTGTTGTGAGAGAGATGTGGTTGTTGTTGTTGTTGTTGTGAGGGATGGTTGTTGTTGTTGTTGTTGTGAGGTTGTTGTTGTGAGGGATGGTTGTTGTTGTGAGATGGTTGTTGTTGTTGTGAGGGATGGTTGTTGTTGTTGTGAGGGATGGTTGTTGTTGTTGTTGTTGTTGTGAGGGATTGTTGTTGTTGTTGTTGTGAGGGATGGTTGTTGTTGTTGTTGTTGTGAGGATGGTTGTTGTTGTGAGGGATGGTTGTTGTTGTTGTTGTTGTTGTGAGGATGGTTGTTGTTGTTGTGAGGGATGGTTGGTTGTTGTGAGGATGGTTGTTTGTTGTGAGGGATGGTTGTTGTTGTGAGGGATGGTTGTTGTTGTTGTGAGGGATGGTTGTTGTTGTTGTGAGGATGGTTGTTGTTGTTGTGAGGATGGTTGTTGTTGTTGTTGTTGTTGTGAGGGATGGTTGTTGTTGTTGTTGTGAGGGATGGTTGTTGTTGTGAGGGATGGTTGTTGTTGAGGGATGGTTGTTGTTTGTGAGGGTTGTTGTTGTGAGGGGATGGTTGTTGTTGTTGTTGTTGTGAGGGTTTGTTGTTTGAGGGATGGTTGTTGTTGTTGTTGTTGTTGAGGGATGGTTGTTGTTGTGAGGGTTGTTGTTGTGAGGGATGGTTGTTGTTGTGAGATGGTTGTTGTTGTTGTTGTTGTGAGGGATGGTTGTTGTTGTGAGGGATGGTTGTTGTTGTTGTTGTTGTGAGGATGGTTGTTGTTTGTGAGATGGTTGTTGTTGTTGTTGTTGTTGTGAGAGATGGTTGTTGTTGTTGTTGTTGTTGTTGTGAGGGATGGTTGTTGTTGTGAGAGATGGTTGTTGTTGTTGTTGTTGTGAAGATGGTTTGTTGTTGTGAGGATGGTTGTTGTTGAGAGATGGTTGTTGTTATGAGGGATGGTTGTTGTTGTTGTGACAGATGGTTGTTGTTTTGTGAGGATAGTTGTTGTTGTGAAGATGGTTGTTGTTGTTGTGAGGATGGTTGTTGTGAGGATGGTTTGTTGAGAATGGTTGTTGTTGTTGTTGTTGTGAGAGATGGTTGTTGTTGTTGTGAGATGGTTGTTGTTTTTGTGAGGGATAGTTGTTGTTGTGAGAGATGGTTGTTGTTGTTGTGAGAGATGGTTGTTGTTGTTGTGAGGGATGGT